TATTTAAAAGGGTGAAACAATGACAATATGTATAAAAAAAGATCCTTATAAGCTTCTCTCTTATAAAATGAATGAATCCTGCCAAGCTTAGGATATAATGTTTTCTGAAATAAAATAAAAAGAATGTAAAATCACAATTTGCCGAATTTTTTGATAAAATATTTTAGTTTTAATTTATGGGAAAATGAGAATCTACACAGGAGATGCTTTACTAACTAGTGCAAGTTATCTGTTCTGACCTTCTACAAACAGGCTTTGTTGATTGAATGATGATCAATCAGCTTTTCTAACAAAAGTACTTTAAGATTTCAATAAACCTAGAGCAGTATTAAAGTGTTACTAAAACCAGGACCCTGCATTCACTATATCTGGTCTCCCACAGTACACAGAACATGGACTTGCTATTATTTTAGTAAATATACACTGTTAAATACCTTTTCTCATCAGCAGTATATAGCAGTCTTATGACTTCTATCAGCAGAGCACTGGTTACACCTTGTAGGAAGAGTTTTCATTCTGCTCTAGGAGGATGCAAAACCCTTGACCTCTCTTTGGACAGTGCTGACTGCCTTTGTGCTGATCGCATGCACTCTCCCAAGAAAAAAAAACCTCTCTAGCAATACACACTAAACTGAGCATGTGCAAAATGGCTACGGGTTCAGTCTGTCTTATCAGGAGATAAGATGCTGACATTTGAACAAGAGGAGGGGCAGAGAAGACAAGATCAAATGGCCTTTTTACACAATGCATAGGATTAACCCCTTAGGTATAACAATCATGCTTTCCTGCATGTACAAACTGATTTTACTGTTTTGGGTTCAGTAACACTTTAACCTCATTGTTTTATCTAGTTCTGCTTTTATCATTTATAAACTAAAGCCTTCAGTCTATTACCCATAGTAATCTACAAGCCGAAGACTGGCATAGCCGTGTTCATTTGTTTAATTGCTACTAGCCTTGCCCTAGTATGCATGAGTTAGCAAGTATGATTTGCCAAAAAGAATGGACCCTGTTCACCCTCATGACCAATGTAAGAATGGTTTCAGAAAATCGGCATATTCGAATTTTACAGACAAGCTAAAATTTGCAGTGTATGTATATACCAGAAAATAACTCATATTTTTTGAAGTGTATGTACAGCTAAACTTTTTTTTGTTTTGGATAGAGTAGGGAATAATTAAAATACATCTAATATCCCCAAATAAATGAATACATTGCAGTTTACCAATCCTTAGATTAGGTGTCTGCATTGATTTATTTCAGGTTTTTTTTCATTGGCCTCTTTTACTCAAGGAGGATTCTGTTCTGATCAGCAGGGGATCTGTGGGCCGGTCCCCTGCTGATTGAAAGAGAGCAGGCAGATGACACATCTGTGTTTGCTCAGTTTTTGCAGAACGGACTCGGACAGAGCCCTCCTCTGTTGGCTGTTGTCCATTAACACCCAGCTACCTCTGGTCTGCTCTGCCTAAATGGAAGATGGAGTCCGCTTCTGTTTTTTATTGAATGGTCCCAATTGCACCCAGAGGAAGGCGGGTGTAAATAGACACAAGTCTATTTACACCCACCTGTTCATAGGAATGCATGGACATTCTGATCAAATACCCCAGAAAAATTGATAGATGGATCTGATCGGAAATCCAGTATGAAAATGGCTATTTTATTTTCAGATGGTAATCCTGTAAAAAAGCGCACTTCCTGTCCCCGGGTGGCTTCATTTAATTCTTTCATTGTATTTACAGAGAGAACAGAGGTAGTTACTCAGACTGGACTTAAAAATGTCTGCCTTTGTTCATCCCCATTACATGGGGGTTGATGAGATGAGTAGTTTACACAAAAATAATATTGTTTGCTCTTTCAATTCAACTCACTGGAAGTGACAAGGACAGGGTATTTCTGACAAAATCAACAGATTTTCCTGTACTTGCTGAAAATATTCTAAGCCAGAAAAATTAAAACCAATGTATTCAACACATCTAAGACATGGTAAGCTTTAATATATTATGTTTTTTCCTTGGGTTTAGTTTTTTTTGGGGGGGGGGTTTGTTCCCTGTGTCCTTTTGGGGATATTTCCCTTCACTTCTTGTCCCAGAGGCACAACAGAAGGTATCATCAAAGTAAGGGAATATCCTCTCTTAGACAATTACCACCAGAATAGAAAATTGAAAGATTTACCTTTGCCACCTGTTCCTATGATGTCTGTCCATTTTGGATTTTCTGTTACTTTCTGCTTCTGTGTCCGGACCACTTAAAGTGGAGTTCAGGTGAAAAAAAAAAAGTATGCAACTACAAACACTGTAGCTGCTGACTTTTAAAATACAGCCACTTACCTGTCCCTTTGTCCAGCGGTGTCCTCACCTCAGCTGGTTTCACCGGCTGTCTTCTCTCCCTGGTGCCGACATCTTTAGTGTGAGCACCCGGCTGTGACAGATTGCGACTACAGCCGGGTGACCACTGCGCATGCACGAGAAGTGCTGCGCCTTGTGAATGGTCCGTAGTCTTCTGGGACCTGTCACATGTCCCAGAAGACTACGGGGAGGGAGGACAACTTACGCTTCTGATCACCTAGGCGATCACAGCAGAAGTGGGAGCGGGTACCCGTCAAATTCGAGTACCCACTTCCCCCCCCTCCCCGTTCCCCAAAGGTGCCAGTCCTTATTGGGGAGCGGGGGACAAAGCATTAAAGCGGAACTTCCCCTTTTGAGTGGAACTCCGCTTTAAGTGGTTAGAATGAATCTCCCCAGTAGGGACACAGACAGCAATACAATCTAACAGGGGTTTTAACTTGTATTTACCCAAAACTTAAAGGATAAGTTCACCTTTGGAACATATTACATGTTCCACCCCCGTTATTAGGGTGGAACATGTAACATGCTCCCATAGCTGCTGCTGCAAACGTGCCCCCCCCATGACAGATAGTACGAGGAGAAGTTTCCCCATACTATCTGTCAGATTTGAAAAACGGCGTGACTGTGCGGGCTCCGCCCACACAGCTGCAACATTCATTCCCAGACAAACTTCCGTGAATGAATGAACTGCAAGTCCCTACAATGTTAGTGGCTGTGGGCTTGTAGTTTTCAATGAACTACCATGGCACTATGGAACTCCGAGGTAGTTCATTGAAGCTTCCTTTCAGAATATCTGCTTGGCCATACATCCCATACGGCAAACACATGTTCTGACAGGTCTGCAGGAGACCTGCATGGCATCAGCGATCTACTGATCACTGGTGCAATGCTTTCAGGGCTCATTTGGACAAAAAAATAAATGCACATCTTTTTACTTGCAAAAAAATGTGCATTTATTAGTTTTGTCCAAAAGGTGAACTTATCCGTTAACCAGAAAAAATTGTTTTACATACAAGAATAAAATGCAAAGCTAACTAACTAAGGCAACCAATCATTATTCCCCATTATGTTATTTTACAACCTGGTCCGGTGCTTGCAGAGATGCAAGTTTTTCTTAATTTGTTTGATAGATATATACCTGTATGCAAAGAATAACTTTAACGTACTTGTGTTATAACCATCAAACACCATACTACAATTTTGTTCTGTAATGTACTGTACCTTTACAAATGAATTTCCAAAGCCTGATACATTAATAGTAATAAGCAAGTAGATTACATATGACATATTCTTTACAATGACTATACGCAGATTAATCATAATGAACTGTTCATGTAATCTCTTGTGTGCTTACACACACATAAAGACCTAGTGCAAAATTGATTGATTAATTAATACATAAGCCAAGAAAATGTTTTCCCAGGAATTGTCACAGATATGGACACGGCACAAAGCAGTGTTGGGCCTATTTATTAATACGTCAGGAGGCAGTGTGCAAAGTTCAGTAACTATAACACCTGATCAGCAATCATCTTTAAACTAATACAAGTTAAAATGTTTTTTCTGGGTTCCTGCACAGGGCCTATCATAGGCATTGACTATAGGAGAGAAGCATGCTCCTCAGCACCATGCTGTTGTCACGACTCAGTATGTTCTGCATTGACATATTCAAATTGCAGAGAATACATCCTAAGAACTTTTGATTTTGCTTCAATCACATGGACTGAGCTTTCTGTACATGCAGTTTCAATAGACAAACTGCCATGCACATTTTATTTTATATAAATACACCCCTTAGGGTCACTTGTTATCGCATTGTCCTAATAAATAAGGCTGGTATTTTCAGTAGTACATATTAAATATAAATATGAACTATATAGTGAAAATGTTTGCTTGTAAAGTATATTTAAACCCTCACATTGTAAAACAGTCAATTCAGTTTAAAATAGAAATCAAATGTAAAACAGCTGTGTATACACGTAAAAACATCATAAATATTTTGTTTCCCTTTTTTATATGTTTTTCAGCTGCATAGAGAGGTGGGGGAGGAGAAACAGCAGAACACTGGTCTCCCCAGTGAATGGCTGTGTGCGGGGGGGGGGGGGGTAGGCATGTCAGGACAAGTCTGATGATTGGAGGACAGCACACTGAGTTCCCAGCACAGCTAGAGAACTGACCGTGCTGTGCTCTCCTGCCTAGTGTGGTCAGATTTTAATAGAAAAGAGACTGGCAGGAGCTCCAGGGAACTCACACAAGGGAAGCAATACAAAGAACAGGATACATTTAATACAAGTACATAGTACAGAAAGCACAAATCAGAAATATGAAATGTTGGGTTTACATATTCTTTAATATGAGCTACAGTAGTGCAGAGACGTAAAAGCAGCTTACTTGCTATTAGTCCTTCAAATATCCTTTTTCCAAACCTGAGGAGGATTAGCCAGTCAGTCTGTGATTTGATAGTATGCCTAGGAATAATGTACTTCTAGCATCAATAAATTTAGCCCATATTATAAAAAAAAGAGATATTGTTCAGTTATCATTTATATTGTTACAATACCAAGGATATGCACTAATAATCAAGTGCATGTACCAGTGAAACTGCATTGCCCTCTATCATTAATCCAAGTATGTAACACTGTTATACTGTCAATATGTTTGATGTGGCAAAACTAAGCAAGATTTTCTCTCCCCAGGTATAAAGGAGAAGTGCACTGATTGGGCTGAATTCCTTATTCATGATTTGACTGGTTCCAGGACTGCACCAGCAAAACTTTTAGAAGGAGTATGTATCTTAATTTAAATAAAAGTGTTTTTTTAAAAACAATTATTCCTATTTTAAACTCAAGTGAATAGGTTTTTTTTATAGACTCTATGCTATTTCCCTGTATCATCAAAACTGTATTATCAGATCCTGCGCTTGATCAGTCCATTTTATCTATAAGGCCTCATTTAAATAGACCGCAGTTTCTATCGACCTTTGAACAGTACCCCTTGGGGGATCACTTTTCAGAGATCGGTTGACAGGCAGCTGGAAAGCAAAATGTTGGCTCATCATGGAACCATGTGAATTACCCCCTTCCCTTGAATGGGTCACATTTGGTGGCAATACTGCCAGCAGGACACAAAACTGGGTATAAATTTTGTTGTTCTGTATGTACAGCCCTGAGTGGTTGCATGTTCTATTTGAGGTGAGCAGTTGGTGGTGGTGGTGGGGGACGCGATGTAGGGTTAGGGGGAGCATTAAAACCGTAGCTCAACTGCTTGTTTTCACTGTCCCCTGGCCACCTGTGTGAATGAGGCTTCAGTGTAAATGAAAGCTACAACTTTGTTTTTTTTTAAGAGTAGAGCAGCTCTTGGAATCCTATTGAGAATAAATTCAGTGGATGCTGCATTAATTCATGGAGGCAGTTTATAACCCCCAATCCGAAACATTTAAATTTATTTGAATGTTAAACATCACATTTTCTTGTAAAGAAATATGATCAACCTAGAGCTAAACTCTAGGCAGATATAAAATACGCCAATGAATACAGTTCTGGTACATCATTAAATGTGGTTCCTGGGCTCTCCCATTTCTCTCAGGCCTCCTCCAACTAATGCACCCAGGAGCCACATGTATTGTGTCACTTCTAGGTTCAGAGCTGTCATTCTCTGGCTACTGTAGCTGGGAAAATAGCTAATGAAGCACAATCTGTGCTTGATTATCTGCAGTGAAGGGCAAGGAGATGTTGGGGGTCTAATAGACCTCAGATGTTTACAAAATGTGAACCTGTTGTATGCCCATGCTATGACATAGGAAGTTTGTTAGCCCCCATGTGATAGCAATAAACGTAACCCCTTGGCACCGGCACCTCCCGGCCCTTTAAGGGATTTCAAAAGCCGGGAGGCGGGGCAGGGTTTAGGGTCATGTGACCGCCGTGACACACTGTCACAGCGGTCAAATGATTGGGAAAGGTCCCGATCGAAAGAGGAGATCGGGACCTTTCCGAGAGTACCGGACATGTGTGCTGGGAGTGCGCAGGGCATGCGCGCTCAGCACATATGTTTTTTTTAAATAGAACGCAAATGTGTGGCCACTCGTCATCTAGTCCCAGACTCCGGGAGGCTGCACATTTGCGTTCGGCCGGCGCCAAGAGGTTAAATAAAGAAAAAAAGTGTTAAAAGTAATAAACTAAAAGCAAAAAATGTAACCTGCCCTCCCATACACACCTCAATGCAGTGTAGGGCATGCACCTGTATGTAAACATAAACTTGCACCACACATGTGAGGTATTGTGACTATCAGAGTGAGAGCAATATTTCTAGGGCCATAATTCATTGTTAACGCTAAAACAGATAACCTTAATAGACCTTTGAAGCTTAGAGAATTTCGGAGAATCCTATAGGCACAAGTAATTTTAAAGATTCACATGTTTGGTATCTATTGACTTGAAGCAATATATTATATTTTACTAAGAATTGGGTATAACATAGTTTTTTTTTTCCCTTATCCACTTAAGCTCCGAGTTAAGTTTTACCCTCTTCATGAAATGTATTGTGTGTCGCCTATACTACCTTAAAAATAAATAGCTAAATTGTCGATGTGAAGATTAGATCATTAATCAAATAAATAGCAAATGTAAACATCAATTCTAATATTGGTGAAATAGAGGCATGTGTCTTTAAATGTCTGCTGCTGCTGGCATCAAAATGTGTTCCCACATTCATAAAACCTCAATAGTAATGTAATATGTGATGCTGCTCTGCTATCAATGTGTAACCGTATATATCTCTAATGTGCATGATTATAAAGCATATATATTACAGATTATGACATAAATAAATACCAACCAAAAAAGTGTTAACCTATAAATCAATGAAATTGTGCATATAAATCAGTCCATAAAGTCCACACTGTAATGGTGATTATCCAACACCCAAAATATAAACATGATGCTTGTCAACTTCATACAGTAAAGTGCCACCTCTGTGTTCACAGAACTGTCACCTCCAGATTGATATCATAATGCATGTGTATGATAATCCATCAAGATTCCACCAACACTTCCAACCTGTTTCACATCCAGACCACTAGGGAGTCTCCACTCCTTTCTCCCTTAGATCCTATATCAGGGGGTATGGTACCTTTAAGGCTCATATGGATTCATGCTGTTGGCATAACCTTGCCCATATGGGGGGAGCGATACACCTCTTATAGTGTGGTATGTTAAAAGCGTCAAGATTTATTAAAACAGTATTGCACTTACATTTTAAAACGTATTAAAATCACAGAGATCTCCATTTGTGCTTCCGTATAACATCACTTCCAGTCCATATCTACCTCTGCTCATGCCCTATGCGTTACGTTACAGTTACATGACTTCATCAGGGTATGAAATGCATAGGGAGCGAGACGAGGCAGATGTGGACTGGAAGTGACGTCATATGGAAGCACAAATGGAGATCTTACAGTGTGGACTTTATGGACTGATTTATATTTATATCATTGATTTATAGGTTTGCACATAAGTAACACTTTTTGGTTGGTATTTATTTATGTCATATTCGATAATATATATGCTTTATTTTCATGCACATTAGAGATATATACATGGTTACAAATACACAGCAGCGCAGAATCACATATTACATTACTATTTATCCACTTCATGACCATGACATTTTCTGCTATTCGACACTGTGCTACTTTGACTGGCAATTGTGCGGTCATGCAATGGTGGCATTTGATCACCACTGGGTTTTTCATTTTTTATCATATAAATGAAAAAAGCTGTGTACAGAGCTTTAGTAAACACAGGGCTCTGTACTGTGGTTTGCTAAGCCTGTTAGCAGGTCCATAACTTGTTGGCCGGGACCTGCTGACTGATTTGAGCTGTACTGAATGACAGCACAAAGGTGGCAGTGGGTGTGGACATGCAATCTACTTGGAAATGCTGGATCACATACATGTACGTGGTACAGCGCAGAGTGGCCACCCCTCTGCGGTATATTTACATGGGGCAGATCGCAAGTGGTAAATTACTTTTGGAATATTATTTCCAGGAACATATGCATTTGATAAATAGCTGCACCAATATCTTCCAACATACAAAATTGCAGGTCTCTGCTTTCATAAAATATATAATTGTTTGGGGGTGTTAAGTAATTTTTTGCATAAAATGCAGATTTTAACACGTGTAGAGTAGTAGCCAAGTGGTTAAAAGATGCAAAACCCTTTATTGCTGCTGATATGTGGTAAGTATGGAAAGTCATACTTTATAAATGGAAACTAAAAAGGGAAGTAGAGGACTGCCAGACCTTGAGACCTCCCAGTTTAAAAACAGAAGTGACATAACGTGCAATTCTGCTGTTGCTCGGAAAAAGGTCAGACGAGAGCTCTTGTGTAACTACAGGCATGTTGGAATAATAAGCTTTCTGTGCAGGACCTGCTGAATATAGAATAATGACTCTTTCACATATGTTAGGTGACGCTCCTAATTGTTCAGCTTAAGAAAAATATTGTTTAGACTTCTTGCAAAGGGATTTTTCACTATCAATTAATTTTATCTGAGGAAGACTCGTGCCTTGAAAGCTTTCCAGACAATCTTTTTAGTTACTATTTCGGAGTTACAAATTCAGATACATCTGAATCTCTGAATAATTAAAATTTTGCCCGAATTTCAATTTATAATGAAACGAAATGCACGTGTCTAATGAAATGTGATATTCCTACATTATTTTTTACCCCCTTCTAGAAGCAGTAGTAAGGTATTGTCATTGTCATGTTGTCAGTGCCATGTTAACCATCAACCAAAGTTGACGTTAGGAGCAAATTACATCATGCTTTGCTGGGTTTTTTGCCTTCCTCTGGATCAACTGTGGGTGTAGGATTATAACTTTTTTTTTATGATTGAACTGGATGGGCTTTTGTCTTTGTTCAGCCAGACTATGTAAATTATTCAAATTTGAAAATTAATTAAAATTCGAAAGGGAAACATATTGCAATAAATACAATAAGGCATAAAAGTGAAATAAGATGATTTCTACTTATGCTGCTTTATTGAGTAGAATAGAGTAGAAAAGAATAGAAAAAAAAGAACAGAGCAGTACAGAAAAGAACATAATAGAATAGAAAAAATAGAATATGTTAGAATAGAGTAGAATAGAATAGAACGATCTTGTGACATTCAAATTTTGGAAGACTGCTATATTCTTTTTCTATTCTATCCTATTCTGTTCTTTTCTATTGCATTATTTTCTAATCTATTCTGTTATTTTCTAATCTATTCTATTCTGTTCTTTTACATATATATTCTGCTTTATTCTATTTTAATTTATTCTAATCTATTCTATTCTTAAGTAGGAATCATCATCTTACTTCCCTTTGATACCTTACTGTATTTATTGCAATAAGTTTCCATTTCCAATTCAAATTCATTTTCAAATTCGGATCATTTCGAACTTGAAAGTAATGAATATATGAAATGAATCTGAATATACAAAACTAATTCCGAAAACAAATCATTGTAACATAATGTATATGACGAAACAAAATTATTAACTTAACGAACGAATAAAAAACTAAACAAAACTAAAGAAATGTTTTTGTTGTGCACATCTTTACATTTCATGTTTTTAGAATTTAAGGAAATCCTTGGGGTAAAATTTTTTTGAGTCACACACTTGACACCATAAATTTAGTTTACTGTTTAAGTGACTCTTTTTTTTAACACATGGTATGATATGCTTTTGAAAAATAAAAGAACAGAGGTGTTTGCTAACTACAGGACAGTCAGTTGTCAGGGAAACCATCTTACGGTCTCTAAAAAAAATGGCTTTCAGGTTTTGTCCATGAAATGTGTTAAAAGGGGTCATCAGAGTCCAATGAAAAACCATTATTAAAATCTCTTCCTTTATGAGGCTAAAAGACTAAGTGTATAACTGATGCATTTTCATTTCACATAAATTTGTGTATATATTTTTTTTTTCACAAAAGCAGGTGTGTTTTATTAGGCTGAGTATAAGAACTGCATATATTATTGATTTTGTTTTGTTGAGTTGCTGTAGAAATGAAATAAGACAAATTAAGGAAAATTATTTATTTCAATATTGATCCATTTCATACGGCATTGGAAAGAGCAATAGTAATATACACAGTGCAGTAGTAATTGGATTTCAGTTTAGTGCTGTCACATCAGTATAAGATGAAGTCTGTTTGCTGTATCAGATATGGCCATTAGAAAGCTGTTGTTAGCTTTACATTTCATTTGTAGTTATCTGTATTGAAAGGGATAAACACACAGTGCTATAAGCTGCCTGTAGATACCAGCATTAGCCAGCCTGACCATTTTCTTTAGGGGAACAATTGATTGGACATATTTAAAAAATTGTCCATTTGTTATTGTTCCTCTGAATGTAAGTTGGTGCCAGCTGTGTCTCATCCCTACTACCTTTTTTAAAGGTATGAAAATCCTTAGGAAAACAGAGTATATACAAGGTGTGTCTAAAAAGTTTTGTGAATGGTATCAGAAAACAAACAAAACAAATGACCTTTATTGGCCTTCAAAATAATCACCATCCTGCACAACACACTTTTGGCAACGTTCATAAAGCTTCAGGAAACTGTCAGCGAAGGTCTCTAGGAAGCAATCACAGAACCGCTCTCACACATTCTTGGATTGCCGCCATGTCCGCAGAACGTGTGTCTTTTACAATGCTCTTCAGGTGGGGAAACAGAGGGAAGTCCGCAGGCGTCAGATCAGGGAGTACAGTGGATGATCAAGAACAGGTACACTGCGCTAAGCTAAGAAATGGCGCACACGGAACGCACAGTGCACAGGCGCATTATTGTGCATTACTATGCAGCAACATCCACTGTCCAGTCCTGTGCAACTCTGGCCGAACACGTCAGACTTGTCGTAAGAACCATCCCAAAATTTCCTTGTAGAATGCAGCGTTCATGGTTTAACCCGAAGGAATAAATTCCTTATGGATGATGCTATTGTTGTTGAAGAAGGCAATCAACATTGTCTTGACCTTGGACTTTTGCAGGCGACTCATTTTGGGTTGCAGGGAAGATGGTGAATTCCATTAATTGCCTCTTGGATTCCAGATCAAACTGGTAGCACTAGGTCTCATCCCCTGTGACGATGGAACGCAGAAAAGGATGGATCTGGTTACACACGGTAATGAAATCTCCAGAACTTTCCATCCGTTTTGCTTTCTGTTCATCTGTCAGCTTGTGTGGCACAAACCAGGAACAGATCTTAACCAAAAATCTTTGTGGACGATGGTGAGCACCGTGTCCTTGCTAATGCCCAATTCCTCCACCATCATCAGTCGCGGATCTCGTGCCAGCCTTTATCACACTCTCTCGATCATGTCTGGGGTTCTACTTGTAGACAGCCGACCGTGGCTCATCCTCAGTCATTTCCTTCCCATCGCAAAAGTGTTTGAACCAGTCGTAAACACATTTTCTGTTCACGGCTTCCGTCCTGTACATTTGCACCAACATTTCATGCATCTCCATCACTGTTTTTCCCAAGTTTTAGCAGAACTTGATGTTCACTTGTTGCTCCATTGCACTGTGACCTTACCTCTCACACTGATTATGTTTGACTGCCCGCAGCGGCTTTACCATGTATTCCATGCTAGGTAACGCTTTTTGATGTGTCTCTGGCAGGGGCAGACTGACAACTCATGGGGCCCCCGGGCAATAGGGGATCATGGGGCCCGCGTGTCCTTGCCCAAGCTCAAAAAAGCCTATGAAAAAGGTACCAGGGGCATCTCATGGGGCCCCCTACTGACCCTGGGCCCTCGGGCAGTGCCCGAGTTTCCAAATGGTCAGTCCGCCCCTGGTCTCTGGATAGCTATGTGCATGCACGCAAACCTGGCCCTTGTTGCCGTTGAGATTTCGGACCATTTACCAAACTTTTTAGACACACCTTGTATGTTAATGGTTGAACTCGGCCAACAAACCTTTTTTACATACCCAAAGCAAAAATCACCTCTTTTACTCAGAGCTTTGTATTGTTTAGCTTGTCCTAAACTGACTTACTATAATGTGGCATTGTATACATAGACTTACTGTATTTTAGTCAATAGTGGGAAAAGTTGCGTGGTTGATAACAATAGGGAAACATTATTTATTTGCTATCACTGCCTATCAGCACAGGTCCCCTAAACCTTATACTGTAGTAGATCTTGCCCTGCAATTGCAGTTGCCTTACTATAGGACAGTGGTGGTCAACCTAAAAATAATAGATGGCCTCCAGTGTGGCCCCCAACACTTACAGAGGGCCGCAGATTCGCAGCACATTTTAGTGTATTAACATGCATGGCATTGAGTTAGGGGACCTCTTCAATATGAATGCTATATTGTACCCCAATGCTCAAGAATTTCAGTTTTGCTGATTCTTTGTAAGGTGACACAGAAAAGCCCTTAGCATTGGTGTCAGTGACTGTATTAATAACCCCCAGCCTTGGTGACAGTGACCACAATAATAACCCCCAGCATTGGTTTCAGTGACCACAATAAAAAAAAAACCAGCACTAATGTCAGTGACTTCAAAATTATCAAGCCCCCATTGTTTGTAAATGCAGTGGTATGAAACTTTAACCCTCCCCCAGCATTGGCAGTCAGTGCAGTGGCAAAGACATACTGTACTATTTTTACTGTGGTTGGAGATCACTCTGCTTGACAGTACTGGTTACTTAAACACAGCACCCCACTTCCAATCTGCATAGTTCACAGGTACCTTACAGGTGATGCCCCAGCCCAGGCATGGCAGGCCCATGGGCATTGTGTTGGGGCACCAGGTTTTTAGAAGGTAAAAAAAACACCTGTAATGATGCCCTGTTTAAAAATGGAGGCTGGTATACCAGGATTTTAACAACGTTCCCAGCTGCTATAGATTGTGCTTAAATTTGCTCAGTGGGCTTCACAGGGAAGGTAGGGGAGACATCAGGGTCTAATAGACCCCCTGATGTCCCATTAAAGAGAACTTGTCATTACAGTATGCTATCACATAGGGTGCTATTGCTTGCAATATGATAATCAGGATAAGCTTACAGTGTATCATAAAGAAATAACGTTTTGCTTTGAAATATTTTATCCAGGTAATCTTACCTACTAATTACACCATCTCTCTTAACTCCAACAGCCTCCACCCCCCCCCCCCCCCCCCCCCCCCCCCCGCCCCCCCACCCCCCTTCGAGGAAAAACTCCAGTAGATCTCATTACAGTGGATTCACTGGTAGAGCTTCAGGACTCCCAGAACCCCTTTCAGTACTGGATAGTTAGTGTGATAGAAAATGTGGGTGGAAGACTACGACTGCGCTATGTTGGATTGGAGGAGTCAGATGCCTGCGATCAATGGCTGTTTTATTTGGACTGTAAACTTCGACCTGTTGGCTGGTGCCAAGAAAACCAGTGTAGGATGGAACCACCTTTGGGTATGTTTTGCAAAATGCTCACATATTCTTTCTTGGCAGCTGAAGTATTCAACACAAACTCTTTTGGCCTTGTCACGTAGTTTTTGAAACACTACAAATACCTGAGGACAGAGCTAGGAGAACTGCTACTTAAACACTATTTTTTATTAGTATTCTACTTTACTGTCAGACACTTGCAAGCAGTAACCGTCTGAACTTAACCTTAGCCAGCAGTTTGAGGTTTCTGCACTTGTTGGACTGCTGCCACAAATTTAATATAAAAAGCTTCATTTCAAATAACAGTTTATGTCCAACAGATTGTTGAAGTCCATGTCAACCAATTAAACATCTGCCCTTAGCAGTTCACTGCTAAAAGCAGCAGACTGTTGAAATGTGATTTGAATGGATTACTACAAATTACTGTTTTTTTCAGTAATAAATTTGTGGCTAATCAAGAATGATATTCCAAATCCTGCTATATACAGTATCATACTTGCCAGCTGCTGTGACTTTGACCATTGCTTATTTTCAAAGATTATCAAAGATTACAACAAATACTCTAAGGTTAAGTTTTAGACTCGGTTCACATTGCTGGAACTTGGGATCCGAATTGTGAGACCCCAAGATGCATGACGTGAAATCCCATGTTAGTCAATGAGAGCTGTCCTAATTAGCACTACTGAAGAAGTTCCAACTTTAGAAAAGGTTCCTGTACTACTTCAAGGTGACTTCTATCTGACTTATGCCCACAGACTTTAATGGAAGTTGCCTCCAAGTCAGGACCTCATCTATATTGATGTTATTTGGATCTGACATTACAGGAAGATTACACAGGCATTATCTGAAAGTTGCTTCAGAGTTGCTTTTCAGTTGCTTCAAAGTAGTACTCAAGTTGACTGGCAGTTGCACTGTAAGTCGCACGACTTTCATGTTTCAGTTGTGTAAACCCCAAGACTCAGTCAATTTTCAACAGCTTACACACACCTGTTGTTTGTTTACATTAAAGGGTTGGCAGTCTGCCTGCATGTGTTATGAACTTTGAAAAATAATTTAGTCAAAATGCTTATACATGCAGAGATAAATGAGGGCTTGTTTTAACCCCTTTATGATGGAAAGTATAACAAATCTTAATGCTTGAACCTAACTTCTTTCTTTCTTTCATTTTTGGAATGTGTTAATAAAACTGTAAATAGGATAGCAAATACTTAGTATATTCAGGTAAATTATAACTTGTTATTTTAAGGAGAAATCAGACCTTCATTTGGTGATAAATGGTATAGTAGATATCTCCCTATTTTCTTTTATCTATCTCCCGAGTTTATTTTAACTATTATCTCAAATAGTAAAAAAATATATTTTTTTAAGATTTAGCTGTATATTTCTTTCCATTAATATGACTTACCAAAAAACCCAAAATAAATTCTCCTATACACAATGTCCATGTGGATACCACATATGTGTACATTATCTGTTGTTTGTACCCATAGTAGGGCCAAGAAACAATAGTGTGCATTAGCTTTTAAGTCCTCATGCACACTGGACGTTTTGATAATGCTGGTAACGTTAGCTGTGTAAAGTCACGTTAAATAATTTAGTTTTTCAGCTTTTTTGGGCACTTTTGCATTAGTGTTTAGCGGCATTTTGCCACGGTTAGTGGTGTTTTCCCACATTTGTATTTTTTTAGCTTTTTTTACCCCCCCCCCAAATTTTTTTTTTTTATAAAAAAAAAAATGCTGCGATTTACCGCATTATGTCGTGTTTTTCAGCATTTTTCAGCGTTATTTAGAGCATTTTTACAGCTAAAAAAACTCCTCTAGAAACCCACCAGTCCTGGGTTTTTTTTTTCCAGCCAATAAATGTCCCAGCCAAAAAACGTTGATTACAGTCTATGTGTGCATGGACACATAGGATAACATGCTGGGGGGGTTTACTAGCTGTAGAAAAAAACGTCAAAAGCCAAAAACAGCCGCTGTAAAAATGTCCAGTGTGCATGAGGACTTATCCTTATTTTATTCTACCTAAAAACATTGACACCAAACAAAAAAAAAGACTTTGACCCTGACCGTAATCTTTACCCTGACACTGATCCTGACTCTAATGTTGATCAAGCCCTGATCTAGCTATTTTTATTAAGAGGGACATTTATCAAAACTGGAGTAGGCAGAATCTGAAGCAGTTGTGTATAGCAACCATGTAGCTTCTATCATTAATTTTCAAAGTCTAACTAAACAAGTCGAAGGTAAAAGATGATTGGTTGCCATGCACAGCTGATGCAGATTCTGACATTTGCAGTTTTGATAACCCCCCCCCCCCCCCCCAAATGTATCTTTTCCTCCATTCATAGGAGAAAGAGAGTACAGGGGCATATTTTACTGAGTGATCACTTTGATCACAGTGATCTTGTGATCGGGAGCCGGTCCTCCTGGCTCCTGATCATTAATATAAGACCAAGAGCTGCCAGTGACAGCATATTCTCTGTTCTGGGAGTGAGCACATATACAGTATACATGCGGCACCTCGGAAGGAGGCCCACCTCTGTGGCGCTGCATATACAGGTGTACCTTGGTTTACGAACTCCTCGGTTAACGTAATTTTTGGGTTATGAATGAAAATCCATCGAAAATAATGCCTCGGTTTACAAATTTTTTTCGCAATACGAAGCAAGTTTCCCCAGGATGCATTGCACCTGGGAGGTTTATAGCACCGGCCCCGTGCCTTTAAAGTGCACTTTATAAAAAGTTTTGAACAGATAAGACTTTTTAAAAACTTTTTTTCTGACCTCCGGAACGGATTAATTGGTTTTCAATGCATTTATGAATTTTTTTCGCAATACGAAGCAAGTTTCCCCAGGATGAATTGCGCCTGGGAGGTTTATAGCGCCTGCCCCGTGTATGCTGAGGTCTGTGGGTAGTACGTGGCGTTGAGTGTGGAGGTGTTGGAGTTGGAGTTTTTGGAACCAACGTCCCGGAGTAACGCATTAAATTCGTAAACTGAGGTACGCCTGTATGTGTGAGCTTTTTTCGTCAATTAATTAAAATGACTGCTTGTTTAATTTATTAAACATTAATTAAAAATGCAGACATGTTGCAGCATCTTTCCATACAGGAATTCTATGCAGCTGCCACCTGTGTTCCAGAGAGAAACTATTGTTTTCCGTTTGCCCCTGCAAAGGGCAGCAATTTTTCTAATGCAGAAAAAGCCAATCTCCATGCATGTGTGAACACGCGCTAAAGGAGACACAAATTTAGACCATGAATTCCTTTTATCTACGCAGTTTATTTTTATGTGTGAATGAGCACTATTAACTACACTTCAGATTGTATTGAAGTTTGTTACAGCTGCTCCCCCCCCCCGTGTACCTTGCGCACGTGTCTTAGTTAGAATCTCAATAAAAAGACACTCCCTGCTCTCTTATCAGGTATTTAATGACTGGGTTATTTAAGTTACTTCAGTTTAGTCATAATTCATGTGTCTGTCATGTGTCTGTTTTTACAGTACTGCATGTGCACACAGTGTGGAGGTTGAAACTTATGTTTATTAATATCAAATGTGCAACATAAATCATCCCCTTCATGTGCCTGAACATTAAAGGTCCTAGTTATGTCTCTTCTTTCCTTATTTTTTATGATTACACTGATTTCTCTATGATCTCTATTCCTATCATCTATTTTAACTTTTTAACTAAAAAAGGTCAAGTTTTAAATATGACCACTGTCTACAGTTGTGGATAAAGCTTGCAAAACCGGCTACAGAAAAAAGACATGCCATTAAAACTAAAGAAATGTTTATTTTTATAGGAAATTAAAAAAAATAATAGATACAGGACAATCTGCTACTAATGAGAGAATGTAAATACACTGTACACTTTCAAATGTTTTTGTTGTCTTAAATAGGTATAAACCGATAACCCACCACGCTATATAGCAGAAATACTGCTACAGGGTGGCAGGAGTGTGCAAAATCAAGTATATATATGTGATTTTGCATCTCCGGATAGGGGGCGCACGTGAGACGCGCGCACACACCTACCCACGCTGCGATTGGTGGCCTTGGCTATCGATCACTGGACCCGGCCGGTGATTACCCGCTGGCACCCGGCAATCACTGTGTATCACGGGCGGGGGAGAGACCTGTTTGTAAACAATACAGATCTCTCCACTGTCAGCTCCTGCACACTGCTTTGTATGGCTCATACAAAGCAGTGTGCTTAAGGCACACACACAACACACAGTGAAACCCCTTCCTGCCCATTGTCATTAGTAAAGTGTCATGCTTTTTATTAGCACTGATTACTATATTGGTGTCACTGGAGATGTCATTGACAGTTAGTCAGTTCCCCCCAGTGTCAATATGCCCACCAATGTCCCTCTATAAGTCGCTGATTGCCGCCATTACTAGTATAAAAAAAAATGCCAGTATATATGCCACCATTTGTAGACACTATAACTTTCACATAAACCAATTCATTTACACGGATTGGGATTTTGTTTAGCAAAGACATAGCAGAATACATTTTGGCATTTTGGCACAAATTTATGACAAAATTCGATTTTTTAATTTTTTTTAACTGGACATGTTTAACCCCCCTGGCAGTATTCCCGAGCGTAGCTCGGGGATAACTTTCAGTACCAGAAGCGGTAACCCCGAGCTACACTCAGGATTACCCTGCAGTGTTGCTCAGGAATTCCCTCCAGTACTTACCTTGCCCTGCACACCCCGCGATGTAACCCCCTGCAGCATCCCTGGCCATCTCCTCTGGCCGATACCGGCATCCGTCTTCCATTCCCTGCGAGCGTTGGGACGTACGGGAGATGGAACCAGTGGGAAATTCAAAAATTAAAAAATGTGACATTCACTAAATACACTAAAATCACATAGTATAACATTACTGTATCAAACCATTTCACATACATTTTGTCCCGAGTGCTTTGTCCTGTGCCCTGCCTGCATTTTTACTGTTCTTTCTGCCTGGAAACTGAGAAACGTCCATGGCGTACAAAAAGCGTCCCTTTAGGTCAAAAGCGGGTTTAGACCAGCTAGAGAACAGCGATAGTAAATTATAACCACTTGCAGAATTGAGTGATAATAATTTGTGGGGAAATTCGTCATCAGACACTGAAAACGATTTTGCGACTTTGCTCATTGATGTGCGAACTTGGCGCTCTATTTTCAAATTTCAGTGTTTTTGGTTTGATTACATTATTGAATTAAATTTATTATTATTATATTATTATTTTTTATGATTATTTATTTATTATAATTTATGATTTCGTATTTTAAATTTTATCATACCCGGGATGTTTACTAGACTCTTGTTCGGACAGATTTCAGTGGGTTATTCCTAAGAATTACAGTCCCATAATAAAAAAATGACATATTTCCATTGCAAACAATGTACCACTTTCAGCACAGAAATACTGACATAATCAGACCGTTAGGGAGGTTAATATCAAAAAGTCAAAAATATTGTTTGTTTCCCAAAATTGTTGGGCTTTTTTTTATTGCTCAAAAAAAATAAAAACCACAGAGGTGATCAAATACCACCAAAAGGAAGCTCTATTTGTGGGGAAAAAAAGACATAAATTTAATTTGGGTGCAGCATTGCATGACCACACAATTGTCAGTTAAAGTAACACAGCGCCGTATCGTAAAAAATGGCCTGGTCAGGTGATGGGGTAAATCCTCTGGAGGGCAAGTGGTTAATGTAGTTATATTCCCTGTATCATTTGTATGCCTTATCTTGTAATGATGGGCTGCAATGATGGGCTACAAATATGATTGCAATGATGGGCTGTCATGGCTTTTAAATTTTTTATGTCCATGTGTTCATCCACCTATCTTGTCCCTATTCACTAAAGACGCAAGACTTCCTGTTTCGGGTCAGACAGTATCCAATCCATGCCTTGCTATTGCCTCTGTGTTGCATCACAAATGTGGGAATGTGATGAAAACATATTTCTTGCAGTATAGAGATCTCTCTGTTCATTGCTCTGCCTGTTTGTGTCAGATCTAATTATTGTGTAGCTCTCACCTGCGGGGTAGTAGACAGAGAGCCAGGGATTGTAGTTTCTTCACAGAAAGTCTCAGTTTTTAGACTACAGAGCGAGGTCATTCATTAACATGTGCAGTTCAATGCCATAAATCTCATGTTTGCACACAAACAGAAGATTCTGACACTGGAATGTGAATATTTACCCTACTATAAGCTACGTATACATGGCTGACACTATACAACTACATGATTAATGCACATCGTATGCAGCTGGAAAACACAAGATTTATAATTCCTTTAAGGGATTTGTATAAGCTTGATCCACATTTAGCCCCAAACCTATAACTTTCTAAAGCATAGCCCGGCATTATTTTTTATTTTATCTTATTCCTCTAGTGAGAAAAAATTATTTCACCCAATAACATCATCATCAGGCTTGTAAAATTCTTGCAGGGCCAGCTGTTGGGAGGAGGGATCAGCAGGGTGCTCTAGGTAAGTTCCAGTTGACATAGGCATGCCACCAGATCTACATCACCCAGAAGTCCTTCCCACAATATGTAGGAAGACTCTTGGGGGTCAAGGAAACAATATTATTATACTGGGAATTAAATCAATAAATGAATGTGGACAGAGACGAGGTGGGGAGGAAGCAGGGGACGAGGATAAGTGGAGCTCTATAATCTAGCAGGGGAGATTAGACTGTACACACAAGGCCGACAGCACTGCTTGGGATATCATTTGAGCAGAGGCATTGTTGTTAGCCAACATCAGGAAGCTCTGCCAAAAAGATTGTTGGTAGAATCAGCAGGTATTTCTTGTACTTACAGAGTTTTTTTTTACAGGGACAAAATGACAGGATGTACATGTGTTTTAGAAATGTACTCAATTTGTGTTTTTTTTTACACTCTAAGAATTACACTAAAATAGGTAAACCACGCTAAGCTCCACTTCCTTCCAGTGATTCATGTAAGCTCATGCCACAGTACAGCAAGCATTGACTTTTAATGTTTCTAAAGTTAATATTTTTAATAACCAAGTTATATTTTAGCAGCAATAATTTTTATTTTTTTTGTAGAAAACATATTTAAAGCTGTGTAAATGTTAAAAAATATAGGTTCTCTTGAAATGTAAATTGTTTTTGTGTGCAGAGTATTAGATATGAATTGACTGCATCTTATGTTTTAGACATTTGTCCACTGAAAACCATATCTGAATGGAAAAAAGTGCTTTAGAGAATTCCCTGATAAATGCTGCAAGGTGTCCTTTACCTGTTGAAGTTTTTAAGGTAAGAGACTAAGAGGTTACACTTTATCATAAACTGGTTAATCTATAACCTGTGTCCCAACTTTACAGAAGACATAGTACCCCGGTTCCAAACAGGTGTATGCCAGTTGGGTAAATGAAAGTATATAAAGGTTTATTAGATTAAAGTTTATGTAATCCCACAATCTATTTTGTTATTATGTTTTACATCATACCTCGCTGTATACAAGTTTCCTAAATGAATTGTTTTTGTGACTCTGTTGCAAACTTTCTTACCTGGCGATCCTGCCAGCAACAGCACTTCTTGTTGCAGACTGGCAAGGCTAAACCACTGCCTTGCATTTAGCAGCAGGATTGTCAGCCTGCTATGAATGCTCCTTCAGCTGATCATTGGACTGCCTGTTTAATAAACCTAGAAAGGCAGCCCAATGGCCGAACGAACAAGTGTACAAAGCAGACTGACAATGCTGCGGCTAAATGTGAGGCAATGGAGTTGATTTACTTAAAAGCAAATAGACTGTTCACTTTGCAAGGAAAGTTACGCTATGCATTGGAATGTCCCAGACCTTAGTGAATAAGGGGGAAACTCTGTTGATGTCCATCATCCAATCATGTGCAAGCAAAAAAAAAATGTTTTTTTTTTTGCCATTTTCCTTGAATGTGATTTGTTATTATGCAAAGTGAAATTTAACCACATTCAGTTAAGCTCTAGGGCAATTCTCTTGCACAGTACAACTTTCCAATGCAGCTTATTTGCTTTTAGTAAATTAACCCCAATTGCTTATAGGTGGCCACTGAAGCACAGGAAATGCTATTCTTGGCAAAATCCCCAGGTGAGAATCTCTGCAATAGATTCCCAAAAAATATTTGCTTAAGAAAACTGAATGCAGTGAGATATGATGCCAGGCATACTTAATAATAGGTCTGAGGTTCACACTTTAAATTGGAGATTAAAATAAAGTGTTGTTTTTATGAATCTGTAAATAAAGTAGTGATGTTCTTGTAATCTAACATATCTGTGTGTTTTGCTTTCTTTTGGCCTACCTTTCTATAACCTTAAAGGGAGCATGCCACATAAAAAATGAGTGCAAGTATAAAGTGCACATACTTTAAAATGCCTAAACATATCTGCATCTTCCCCTAAACCATCCTATCAAAGCGAAATGCCAGGCCATTCTGACAGGCAAAGTTCTGTATGGTGCCTCAACTTGCCTTCCGGCCTCCTGCACATTCCTATTGGCCAGTGAGGATGCATTTCATAGTAATAGACCAGTGGTGGGCAACCTATTTTTTCAACTGAGCCAAATCTCGCCAAAACCACGATTGAAATTTATTTTGAGAGCCACATTTTTAAAACTGAAAATACATCCCCCATATAGTAATTCATCCCCCATAGTAATTCATCCCCCCATATAGTAATTCATCCCCCATATAGTAATTCATCCCCCATAGTAATTCACCCCCCATATAGTAATTCATCCCCCATAGTAATTCATCCCCCATAGTAATTCATCCCCCATATAGTAATTCATCCCCCATAATAATTCATCCCCCATATAGTAATTCATCCCCCATAGTAATTCATCCCCCATATAGTAATTAATCCCCCATAGTAATTCATCCCCCATATAGTAATTAATCCCCCATAGTAATTAATCCCCCATATAGTAATTCATCCCCCATATAGTAATTCATCCCCCATAGTAATTCATCCCCCATATAGTAATTCATCCCCCATAGTAATTCATCCCCCATATAGTAATTCATCCCCCATAGTAATTCATCCCCCATATAGTAATTCATCCCCCATATAGTAATTCATCCCCCATATAGTAATTCATCCCCCATAGTAATTCATCCCCCATAGTAATTCATCCCCCATATAGTAATTCATCCCCCATAGTAATTCATCCCCCATAGTAATTCATCCCCCATATAGTAATTCATCCCCCATAGTAATTCATCCCCCATATAATTCATCATAGTAATTCATCCCCCTAGTAATTCATCCCCCCTATAGTAATTCATCCCCCCTATAGTAATTCATCCCCATAGTAATTCATCCCCCATATAGTAATTCATCCCCCCTATAGTAATTCATTCCCCATATTAAGTCCCCAAGTCCCCCCCCAAGTGTGTCAATTCACTTACCTTTGCTCTGCGCGTTCCTCTCGCCGCGTTCCCGCGCCGTTCTGGTCTTCAGGGCAGACTGTGAGAGGAGAGGAGTTCGTCACGCTGCCCGGCTGCCGCCTACATCCTGGCTGCCCCGCCTACATCCTGACAGCTGCAGAGTCCTGACTTTTGGGGGCGCCCGCCCGAGAGGAGGGAGGGGAGCGGGCGCCCGGCACACAGAAGAGCCGCATTTAAGTTTGTAAAGAGCCGCATGTGGCTCGCGAGCCGCGGCTTGCCGACCACTGTAATAGACCAATAACTTTGTGTGGGTGGCATTGCTTAGCTGAAAGCTCTGCAACTACTTAATAATGTCAGAGCTTTGACTTTTTTAACCACCCATGATTTGACAGTGATAAGATATTTTGGGAATGCTGATGCATTTTTGTAGATGTACCTAAATAAAATTAATTTAAAATGGTTGTAAACCTCTGAAATGAAAAATGAATAGAGCATATACCTCAATGGTGTGTACTAGTCTCAATCTAAAGCACCAAGTGTGGTTTCTGTCTCTTCCCTCTTCCTTCTACTATCTGCATTAAGCCAGGTATAGATGGTTTGATTCCCTGCTGAACTGGACGAGATTCAAATTGTGTATGGGCAGGCTGAATGTACTCAAATTGACTGATCGATCAACTTGGGTATGACCAGCGTGCTGGATTTTACATGCAATTATTGCTAGCGGTTGTTATAGCCTCTAGCAATAACCACTGTCTTCTCCCGGAAGGGATGGCTCCCCCTGCCCCCTGCCGAGAGAACACAATGGCTCAGATGGAAGGATTCCCCTGTCAACACTGTCTATGTTGATGGAGGAATCAAACAAATTTCTTTCCTGCAAACTGTGGCTGCTGGAAATAAATTCACACTGTCTATGGCCTGCCTTAGTCACTTCTGACACCAACAAATCTCGGGAGACAGCCCCAACCCTCTCCAGCACACATAAGGTGATTGACAGCCTCAGCTGTGCATTTTTCCCTTTGAGACTGTGTAGAGAGGTATATCCATTTCCTTCACTCAGGTCTCAGATTACACTCAGCTCTTCTCTCTTTGCTGTGCAGTGTGTAACATCAGATCCCCACCCCCTGCCTGCTGGAGTTAAAAAATAGCTTTTGATTTGTGTGCTTTAGAAGAAAACAGAGGGTTGCAGATAAACAGGTACAAATTATATGGGAGGATTTGTTTCATCTTTATGTATTACCTGAGGCCAGTCACTTCACTAGGTTTACAACCACTTTAAATGACAGAGTTTCTATATTGGTTGTACTGTCTACTTAACATAGAAGAAGTATGACAAAATCATGTCTATTATTAACCCATTACTAGAGGTGATCACAGTGGTCACGAGAAGCATTTATCACTGGCTGGTTCAGTGTGGTAGACATGTTTCATCAATGTGTAGGGGAACGGAGGAGCCAGGAGACAAAGAGAGAACCTGGTCTCATGGTGCCAAAGAAAGGTCCCTGCTGATGAGATGCTCGCCCTACGCCCTACCACAGGGAAAGAAGACCTAGAACCCTGTGCCTGTTTTTCATGATAGGTTTAAAATCGACCAACCATATACATTTAATACAATAATAATTACCCACAGAATGAAAAAGTGTTAAGCTGGCCATAGACAGTTCAAATCTCGGTCGGTTCAGCAGGGACCAGCTGAGATTCAAACCATGTATGGGAAGGCTGAATGTCGACTAATCAACTTGGGTAAAACCCACCTGACAGATTTTATATGTGATTATTGATAGCGGCTATTATGCCCCCACCATACCCCATCCAACCAGGAGAATACAATGACTCTGCAGGATGGATTCCACTGTCAACACTGACTGTGTTGATGGGTGAATCAAGCAATTTTGTTTCCTGCAACAAAAGAAAATCATTCCATCTATGGATGGCTTTAGTATAAATTAGCATCCAGACAGATTTTCCTTTATTTTCTATTACTTCCTAGGTAAATTCCATTTACATTTTGTGACTTTCTATACAACTAGTTTGAATTTACATTTACTCTCTGTTGCATTAGCATTAAAATGGCAGTTCACTAAGCTAACAAAGCACCTGTGGTTTTACATTATGCTAATGTCTGTGTTTAACAGTAAATATGGAAGTCTTTTAACTGGATATATGGTTTTCTCAAGTTCTGAAATGAGTATTTTTCACAGAAATGAGGTGGAGTATAAGGAAATACCAGTAAACACATTAACCTTAATGTTCTGCATAGTAAAAAAGAATTTAGCACAGGAATGCAATTACATAGCTTGACAGCTGACTTGTTCTGGGCGGGCTCTAAACTAGACAATAGAGATGAGCTAGTGTCTTAAAATGTTCTGTTCTGTAAGTTGCTCTTTGATTAGCTTCCTGCTACAAAATCTCTCTTTGACTGAAACTAATTTAGAAATGGGTCCAGATGAAGGTATTACTTGAAGGAACAAAACTGCTATTTTTGCTCTGTTTTTTATTTTATTGAACCAATGTTAAGATAGAAGCACTGAGTAAAAGCGAACATTTGGATTTTTTCACATTTTGTCCATGAGTGATTGATGGTGGAAGAAAGCATTTTTTAGAAATGCTGTTCTAAATATGGATTAAACAGTACGTCTGTGAATTGCACTCTGTCCGGCTTATCTGACCAGTGTTATTGGTAATTGCTTGAAATAATGCAACAGATGACACCAGTCATGTGTAGAAAGTCATTAGAACTCTACAGCTACTTTTCACCAATTTATTCTGAAAGCTTAATGTCACAAAGCCAATGGGAACATTTTTGGCTACTGCAGTGTTCATTTTTCAAGGCAACATAGTAACCGAATCAAAGTAACATGCAGATTTCCATTCTAATAACCAAGCTATTTAATTCTGATACCACAGTTGCATTGCTGAAATCCTTTATTATCCCAGTGATCTTGTGCCATGTGCCTCCTAGATATTGTAAGCTCGAAAGAGTAGGGGCCTAGCTCTTATAGAGCAATTTGCTAATCAGGGTTAATAGGTCAGTATCAATCTTGAGTTCCAGTGTTGATGACATCTCAAGTCAGACCTTGCATTTGGACTTCCACCTTGCAGTGCAGCTTTAAGCTCAATTTATTTGCTCTGATTAAAGATGAAGGAAACATTTTTAGTTTGTGCTGAGTATAGTTTGTGAATTGAGGGGAATGGATGGAATGCAGGGTTAACAGCATGTTTACAAAATCTTAAAACTAATGGTTTGGGATGTATGGTCTTTAAAGGGTCCCTTGAGCCTCCATTTACAGGGAAGCTTTTAATTATAAATGTAACACTGAAATACACTATATGGGGATGATTTACAAAAGGAAAATAGGTGTTCACTATGCAGTTGCACTCTGCAAGGAAATTGTCCCCAAAGCTTAGTGAATGAGGTGGCACTCTGCTGATTTCCATCATCCTATCAGGTGCATGTAAGAATGCTGTTTTTTTTTTTTTCCTCGCACAAGATTGGGTATGCTTTGCAAAGTGAAGCTTTACCATATTCACTAAGCTCTGAGTAAAATTCCCTTGCAGAATGCAACTTCTCTTGCAAAGCAAACCGTGTACTTGCCTTTAGTAATCAACCCCTATGTCTGTGACAATTACAAACGTTTATTCTTGTTTATGAGGATAATTAGAATTTGTGGAATTTATATTTTTATTAAGGATCATGCTGACCTAAGGAGCCATTCCTTTACTACTGGGATGAAAGTAGAGGCAGTGGATCCAACTGAGCCTTGTCATATTCGTCCTGCAACTGTGACCAAGGTAAGTCTGACTGACAACAGTGTATGTAAATGGCATACTCTTCATTGAAGCTACAAAAACCATTTTATTCTCTCCTCCAAGACAAAGCAGAATTCATTAAGTCACCACCTATTATAGCTTGAGAATATGGTTTTGGTAGTGAATACCCCACTGAGTGCTGGAGTAAAGCATTGAGGGCCACATATGCAGCAACCAGAAGTGCAGACTTGTGGGAATTGACTCAGAAGTTCTTATTACGTTGATACTTAACCCCATTTCGTATTGCAAAATTTTCCACATGACTGTCCCCTAACTGCTGGAGAAATTGTGGAGCAGCAGGTACACTATATCATATACTATGGTCTTGCACTCTCCTCTCCACTTACTAGCCACCAGTCTGTGATCTTATTGCTCAAATGGTAAAATTGATTGTTCCAATGTCCTTGGGTATGGCTTTATTCTTCTTGGAGGTAGATGCAGTCCCACACATATCCTAAGACAGTTGGTGATTAATATTTTTTTAGCTGCACGCCTTACCTTAGTTAGACACTGGAAAGATCCTAAAGTCCTGAGTATAACAGAGGTGATACAAAAGATCAATGTCCCTACTAATTACAAACTACTCTTTGCATCTTCTACCGGAAAATACCATGTAGATACTTTTGAAACCTTGGTTAGAGTGGTACCATATGCTTCTACGTAGCTATACTGTAGATATGGCATGTTTAATTATATAATGTTCAGCTTTATGTTGATCCTTGACTGTGGCTGCTTAATTGTTTACTGTTCTTTACTTCGGAACTTCTGTTTTGATGGGAGGTTCCAAAGGTTAGCGCTACATTTATATGTGCATTTTTTTATGGTACCTTTATGACTGCCTAAACAGTGTTGCCTTTCTTTGTGAAAATGTTTGTATTTTCTTACAAAATCTCAATAAAGATCTGTTGAAATCTGCTTTGATTGAAATTCACAAAAGAACACTCTGATTTACATTTTTCTTTGAAAGTAAATGAAAAAGGCATTCCATTTAACAATTTTTTTTTTAAATGTGACGCGTTCAACTGAAAAAAAATATCTCTAATCTGAAAGTCATTCAGATTTTTTTTAAACACCACATGGACAGGTAGGAAGCAGTGGGCCACTCACCGATATTTGGTATAATAAGATGGTATTTGCATAATATTGCTTCCAGTATTTTCAGGGGTCCTGGGAGCTTGTAAGCCTAGTGAAAGCTGTACCAGCACATCCTTTACAATGTTATTTCATGAATCATTTGACATGGAAATTGTTACTTTAATGGGTTTAACTATAAAGGCAAAGTGCAAATTTAGTCTAACTTCTGTACTCTTTTAAGCTGTGCTGTGCTGAAGATCAGCTTTTCTGTATTTAAAGAATTTTTGCAAATTATCTTTACAAAAGGAACATGCCAGTATATTAAAACTGAGAAGCTGTAGTGCCCCATAGCTTCATTGTATTTTTAAGCAACAATGTAGTGTGCATAGCATGGATGTGTGTTTCAGAGTAGCTTTGTTATTGGACAGTAGCTAAAGCTCATGTGAAGTACTGATCTAGAAGATAGGCTTGCTGGACACCATCAGGGAAAACTGGAGTGTTTGTATGTATAACAGCCCATTTTCTTTTACTGCAGAACATTGCAGAATATATCTGACAGAGGAAAAGGAAGTGGTATAAAAGATATACAAACACTTTCTGATGGTATCCAGTGAGTTGTTGTATCAGTAGTAGGCCTTTAAGTAGTGCCTATTATAGTCTTTTTTTGGCACATTTCAGAATTACTACAAAATTAGGGGCGACCCTGTCTGCTACTCACAATTGCATGTTGTCAAAAACAGCTGAACAGGAGTGAGATAGAGGTTGATTTATTAAAGGCACTTTGGAAGTGCAGTTGAACTAATTTTCCCCAGAACGTAGTGAATTTAGTCGAGCTTGACTTGGTAAAGAATCTGACACTTTTTTATGTCTTATTCATTGTTTTAGCAAGGGAGGAGTGGAGCCACGTGTAAAAAGGGGACCTTGCATGTAGTTCAAGGTCTGTTTAAACATCTTCATTTTTGCTTGCACATGATTCGGTGATAGAAATTAGCAGGGCTTCACCACATTCACTAGGCTCTGGAAACGTTGTGTGCAACTGCACTTCCAAAGTACAGAGTCTGTTTGCCTTTAGTAAATCAACTTCATAGTATCGCAAGTGAAAACGTTACTCTCCAATCTTCCACACAACTGCCAAAAAGCATTAAAAGCCAGCCAATTCACAGGACATCCAGGTTGATACCATATGTGCTGCTTGGAATGTCATCTGTATATCCCTCGGGTTCTTTATACATGATACACACCCAAAAATTTGCATTGTACTGAGAAACATTGGTGGATTTTTGCATGTTTAATGCTTAAAATATCTACAGGGTATTGCACTTCCCATAGAACAAACTGATTTGATTCTATACATATAATGAAATGTTTAAGCTATGTTACACATTGAAAGTAGGACATTTTGTGATGTTTTATAAACATGTCCCTTTTAAGTGTCAGTACCTTGTGTCTGCACAGTATTACTGCTGATGTATAGAATGTTTATTAATTTGCCATATAATCTGAATTTTAGGTTTTTAACAACCTTTATTTCCAAGTGGCTATTGATGATTTGAGACCAGAAGCAAAAAACGTGTCAATGCTTTGCCATGCTGAATCACTGGGACTTTTGCCTGTACAATGGTGCCTTATAAATGGAGTAAATCTCACTCCTCCTAAAGGTATGAAGTGATATTCTGTTCTGTAAACCTGGACTTCACACATTGTCATAAATGCTTTACTTTGAGCAATAAATTGCAGAAAAATATTTAGAAATGCAACTAGACTGCATATTATGGAAATTCAATAATGACTATTCGTCTTAATATTATGAACTTTATAACTAGAGATGAGCGAATTATTCAAAAATTCAATTCGGCTGATTCGCCGAATTTGCGGGAGAAATTCGATTCGATGCGAATTTATTCGCTGCGAATTTAACTTATTAAAAGGGTTTCTAGGCTTCAGAGAGCCTTTATATTAGTGCAGAACACTGTACCTTTAATTTAAATGCCCTTGGAGTCTGCTGGGGAAGAGAAATAATACTGTCAGTCAGTATGACATGCAGATGAGTGCCGTCGATCTTAGAATCACCGCACACTTCACTCATTTGGGCAGTCACGGGGCACGACGAAGAAGAAGAAGAAGAAGAAAAGAAGAAGAAGAATGAAGAATGAAAAGAAGAAGAATGAAAAGAAGAATGAAAAGAAGAATGAGAAGAATGAAAAAAAGAATGAAAAGAAGAAGAAGAAGAATGAAAAGAAGAAGAAGAAGAATGAAAAGAAGAATGAAAAGAAGAAGAAGAAGAATGAAAAGAAGAAGAAGAATGAAAAGAAGAATGAAGAATGAAGAAGAATGAAGAAGAAGAAGAAGAAGAAATGAAAAGAAGAATGAAAAGAAAAAGAAGAAGAAGAATGAAAAGAAGAAGAATGAAAAGAAGAAGAAGAAGAAATGAAAAGAAGAAGAAGAAGAATGAAAAGAAGAATGAAAAGAGAAGAAGAAGAAGAATGAAAAGAAGAATGAAAGAAGAATGAAAAGAAGAAGAATGAAAAGAAGAAGAAGAAGAATGAAAAGAAGAAGAAGAAGAATGAAAAGAAGAAGAAGAATGAAAAGAAGAAGAAGAAGAATGAAAAGAAGAAGAAGAAGAATGAAAAGAAGAAGAAGAAGAGAGAAGAAGAAGAAGAAGAAGAAATGAAGAAGAAGAATGAAAAGAAGAAGAATTCCAGTACAGCAAAAAGTGTATCTGCAGAGAGCTCCGCTATTTCTGACAGTTCTCTGACAGTTCCTTCACATTTACAGCGGTTGAAACATTGTATCTATTTGTTTCCGAATAAAAACATCTGTATCCTAAATGGAAACAAATAGATACAATGTTTCAACCGCTGTAAATGTGAAGGAACTGTCAGAGAACTGTCAGAAATAGCGGAGCTCTCTGCAGGGACACTTTTTGCCGGCTGTAGAAGGGATGAAAATCGGCCCCGATCGGGAAAAAATTCGATTCGCGCATCCGAAGTTTGCTAATATTCGGATTCGGTGCGAATCGAATTTTTCCTAATATTCGAAACGAATTCCACTTCGCCAAGTTCGATTCGCTCATCTCTATTTATAACAATTATTTCTTTGCTCACAAATACCAATAATTGAAAATATATATACAATATTTTCCACCTATAGTTAGCAGTAGTGAAGACTTTTTGGACCTGAAAATCAGGGACCCAGATCAGTTTTTGAAGTTATAAATGATTTATTGAACTTTAAAACCCACTGATGCCACACGTTTTTCAGTATCACAGAATGATATGAGCACAAGTTCAGACAAAAAGGAATATCACTCAAGAAACCAAAGAGATAAATGGAAGTGACAAATTTAGAGCAGCTACCACAACTTTGATTAATTATATACTGTGGGTTGAAAAAGCTTTCAAGAGCACTCACAATGATTCGTATTCTCAAGGATGTGATTGCATATACTGTGCTGCCATAGATTCCTCACAAGTACAGCATAATTGTGATCATTTTATGAAAATCATCATTGCATTAGGAGACAGAATAATAGAAAAATTACAGTTAGGGCTCCACAAACAAAGGAGGATTAGCATCTGTGTACATCACTCTCTCCATGATTTTAAAATTACAGAAGTAAATAAATAAAGATTTGTGAATATCCCAAAGCTGATGTTATATCGAAAAAACAACAAGGTCCACTTTTAAATGCTCCCTCCCCCTTACTGATAATAAAATGCTGAATAAAAATAAAAAAGCATCTGTAGGTAAAAAAATAGATACCATACTTATGTTCCCACCATCTCCATACCTGTAGGGAAAAAATAGATACCATACTTATGTTCCCACCATCTCCATACCTGTAGGGAAAAAATAGATACCATACTTATGTTCCCACCATCTCCTGCCCTTGTCACCTAGGCAATGGAGACATTATTTTGCTTCTGACAAGATTTTGAGAAATGATGACTAGCCCAAATATGCACTGTGTGGAAGCAACCAGGGGCGGACTGACAACTCATGGGGCCCCCGGGCAATAGGGGCTCATGGGGACCCTGTGTCCTTGCCCAAACTCAAAAAAAAGCCTATACAAAAGGTACCAGGGGCATCTCATGGGGCCCCCTACTGACCCTGGGCCCTCGAGCAGTGCCCGAGTTTCCAAATGGTCAGTCCGCCACTGGAAGCAACTTATTGTGAGAGACTTAGAGTACTCACCATTCTTTGGGATCTGTTGGCAGAATAATATCACCCCTTGCACTACAGAAGCAGGGGGAAAGAATCGTACCCCTACAAGCGTTTTCTTTTATACGTCTTATTTAGTGTTTTAGCAAGGGGAAGTAGGGCCACGTGTAAAAAGTGGACCTTTCATGTAGTTCAAGGTCCGTTTTAACATTTTCTTTGCTAGGGCTTTGCCTAATGAACCCCACGGGGAACTGTGAATATTTTTCAGTGTGGGCTTTTGTATTGTTTCACATTTGTATGTGAGAAGCAAAGTTCCCACTTCTGCCCCATGCTTTGTTTATCTACATATCTAGAAGGGTGTCCAAATGAAATTATTATAGGCAACAGTGTATTTTTCAAAGACAATTGGTACTTATTGGAGGAGAGAGCTACATCACCAGGAAGACTAAAGTGATTAAAAAAAAGGAAATAATATAGTGTGTGTGGCAGAAGCACATCAAACTATTCCAACCTTTAAAGAATAAAGGCACATAGTAATTCCACAGCATTTTAGGTTGTAAATATGTACACAAAGCAAAGCCAAAAGTCAGTATATGCTTAGAAACAAACTAGCACATAAAAACATGAAATGTAAACAGCCTTGTTTTTGGCATGCCATTGTCTTTATTAATATAAAAGTCAGCAGGAGGAAAGGAACTTGGGGACTGAACGTATAATAGTTTAGGGCAATTCAGGATCGCTTGACTGTGCATGTGTGGCTTAGTGCAAAGAAAGTATTGTTTTTTGTTGTATTGTTTTATTGAAATCAATAGAAGTAAATACTTCAAAAATGTACAGAATGCATGAATTAAAAAAAGAGGTTATGTTAGGGCACAGAGACCATTGAACTGGTACTCTTTTCATTTGAGATAAGTGAAAAGACCCTTTAATCTTTTCTGTTTGTAGGGTATCCAGAGCAGGATTTTGATTGGGCAGATTACCAGAAGCAGTGTGGAGCAGAGGCAGCACCTAACACATCTTTCAGAAATGTAAGTTCCTAACTATTTGATCTAATCTTTATCACCTCTATCATATACAGTACCGGTTCAATTCAGAACAACATATATAAAGATTCTTTTCTAAGGGTCACTGCACTTATGTTCATGGCGTTATTTGTAAAACCAATGCAGGTTTAGTGCTTATGACAAACAAATAGAATCCTACCACTTTCACCTCCTTAACATTTCCAAACTCTGTCTCTTCTTAAAAGAGAAGTGTGGACTAATTTTTTTCCCCCAATTATACTTATCTAGGTGGATGCAGCATCAGTCTGTTTGCTGCATCTGTCCTCTGGCTGCTCTAAGTGTGAGAACTCAGTGGTCACATGACTACTGGTCACTGAGTTCTCACAGCCGCTGCGAGCAGAGAACAGTGACTGTCAGTCACTGCTCTCTGCTCTTCCCTCCCAGCACTCACTGGAGCACTGCGCTATGGAGGAGGAGGGAGTGGCTGGCTCAGTTTCTCAGCGGCTTGCCACACTCCAGATTCTGTGGTGGATCCCGACTTTCAAATTGGGATCTTTCCCCAGTCTGGCTTCAGCCCACTGTTGGCTACAAACGAGTCTCAGAAGAGCAGAACAAATTGCACTCCTGTGACCCCCAGATGAAGTACAGCCAAAAGAGCTTTGGCTCTACTTCTTTAATCATTGACACCACCAAGATATATAAAAATTGCATTCACAAATTTTGTTCATTCAGACAAGGAACAAGAAAAGTTTTGAGTGTTCAAATTTTTTCATGCTTAAGGGCTAAAACAATTTTCAATTTAACCACACTAACTAGTAGAAAAATGTACAAATGTTTTCAAACTAAATACTGTGTAAGGCCAGCATTATTTGCTTCCTTGTAATTTCTTCTTGAAATCTCTCACCCTGTAACTCCTAATTGACCTACCTTTACACAGGCCATCCTATCTTCAATCTATCATGAATGTTGCTACTAGACACATCCACCTTACCAATAAATTAGTATTCACCACTCCTCTCTGCCAATCACTCCAGTGGCTCCTGCTCATCCAACAAATAAAATTCAAATGACTAACAACAACATAGAAAGCCAGCCATGAAACTGCCCTGAGGTAGATCACCAAATTCATCTCAAAATATTGCCCAAACCATGTTCTTTGCTACTTCCAAGACTTCCTGCTCTCTAATTCCCCTCATCCCCTTCTTTTACACTTACTTCAAGGAACTCATTTAGAGTCTCTCCCATCCTCTGGAATTCCCTAACCCCAGCTGTACAGTCATCTGCGACTCTGGCAACCATTAGGTGATCCCTGAAAACAGGTGTTTTAAGGGTAGCCTATGCGGCCTCCACCTAAAACCTGAACTTTTACCTTCTCCATCAACTCATCCCCCACAGTTATTACTTAGTACCATTTGTATCACTTGCCCCTCCCTATTTTTTTAAATAATATTTTATTTTTCACCTTTTTCATCAGAAATCGCATTATACAGGACAACAGTAATATGGAGATTTGTATTATATCCATCACATACTCATGTTAACATACAGAATCTTTTATGACTGGTTTCCTTTGGTGATTGTAATATCATTGACCTGTTTCATTCAATGCTCTATAGAGGGTATGTGTCCTTTTCCAGTAGATTGGTATTAGCCTCTTGGCAGCATTTAATAAGTTAGCAACAATACTCTTCTTGTACGCCCAATGAAACTGACATGGAGAAGACACTGCGCTGGGATGTCATGGATTTGAACAGTAGTGATTTCTGAGATATATTTCCTAATTTCAGCCCAGTATGGCATACTCTTGGGGCATTCCCTCCATGCAGTATGTGGGCATGGGACCCTTGTTGGCCACAACCTTGCCAACATTTGTCTGAGACTGAGGGATACACTAGAGCTAACAGACCCTATACCACCTCATCACAAGTTTACAGTTAGTCTCTTTAATTTTGGTACAAATAGAGAGGTATGTGCTAGCATCATTTATGAGAGTCTGTAAATGAGCATTCTTGCTCCGTCACCCATTCTTTAAGGAATTCAGGACCCATGAGGGCATCATTTAGGTTCAATCCCCTCACTTTCCCCTCCCTTTTAAATTGTAAGCTTTCACTAACTCTCTTGTCTTTGGATTGAAATTGTGTCCCTTCATTTTGTAAAGTGCTCGGCAGCTATATACCTTTAAATCCTGTATAATAACAATAATTAACAAAATAATTAAAATTATTCATTGGCTTGACTTCTGTAAAGTGATTTTGCTTGTTTTGAATATGTTAACTGCAATTTCCACCTGAAAAATCCTGATCGTTCAGTGGTCTTAAAGGAAACCTTGCATATTCTGCCATTACTGACCTCTCTTTCCAAGTTGCATGACTGTTATGCTGACCGTTTGATTCAGTAATCTGAGCCACTGACCACAAACAAGTATGAAGATAATGTCTTCACACTCTCTCTGTGTATCCTGACATGTTTCAGGTCAGTGACTCGGAAAGTATTGAAGCCAATGGGCAGTCAGGCAACTAGCATTTTTTAGACAGATGTCAGCAATGGCAGCACACATATTCCTTTCATGACATTTTTATTGTAAACACAGGCAAGACTGATCCCTTTAGAAAATCAGAAGGGCTTGTTTCCTTTCGGATATCCCCTAACTCTCTTTCAAGTACAATTTCATTTTCAGCAGCCTGTTGACTAAAGGAAGATTGGAATACTTTTTTGTATGGTAAAGGTTACAGAATGTCATGATCGATATTAGATATGAGCAGCATAATGTAGTTAGCACTGTACAGTACTGCTTCCTTGATAAGCTTGTTTTTGCATGAACCTTTCATTTTTTCCAGGTTATTTTTAATGCAAACAAATTAAATGTCTTTGGTGTGTGTGTGTAATAGTGAATAATTTACATTCATTCTGAAACATAATCTTGTTAAAAGACATGAAAGAGCAAGGATTTGATATCCACCCTTTTAAAAGGCATTTGTTATATGATTTACTCTATGTAATTACTTGGGTGTTGTTTTTGGATTTTATGTGTAGTGACATTCTAAAGAATGATGTAATTGCTAACATATAAAACTGTTCTGTCCTCATTACACGTTCTCCTGTGTGTAACTCGACATGCAGCTAAACCCTCCTGTTCTGCAATAAGACAGACTGAATGTAATCTTTAAGCTTTATTAACAAAATAGGGTGGGTGAAACTATTGAAAAAAAAACAGATAAGAAATACATATATTCACTGTATAAAGCATACAGAAACCAAAATGAATAATTAGGCTGCAGATGGCAATACGTCCATGCTCACCAGCAATGCTGCCTGTAGGGGATGCAAGTTTAGTCCGCAACATGAGCTTCATGTATAATGGTGGTTTCTTCTCCCTCAGTTCTTAAGATGGAGTCTGAGCTCCCAAGATGCACCTGTTTTCTTTTCTTAGAATGAAGGAGTTTTTCTTTATTAAGGCTATACAGTCTCTATTTTCTGTAAAACATTACATTTATTCTGGGCTTCATCTAATGGCTGAATTCAATATTGCAGGGAGAATACATAATTTCCCTGCTGGACGCAGAACAAAAAAAAAACTGTTCCAAATTTGAAGTGAAGTTCTGTAGGCTTTATTTTACAGAGTGTTTCTTACCTTGGATGCACAACCTGTTAATCACACATCATGTTGCAAGGTGCTATAGCATGTAGCCTCATGTACACTGGATGTTTTTTTCAGCTGCTCCTAGGGGCATCTGGCATTTTTTTCCTGCCTCTAAAAGACCCTGCATGTTAGAATATGTGTCCATACACACATAGGCTTCTGGAGGAGTTTAGAGGCAGAAAAAAAACCAATTGCCAGTGCGTCCAGGAGCAAAAAAAAAAAAACTTTAAGCCTGTCTGAACATGTCTAACGGTGCATAAATGTTAGGCATGTTTAGCACTTATTATGATTATTATTCTGCCCTATTAACGTTCCTAAATGCGTCACACACTTTTACAAGCATCAAGCGTTTTTTTTTTTTTGCCAAAGCGCTGCTGCCAGGAGGAAAGGCCTCTAGGACAGTTGGCAGAACGTCCTGTGTGCATGAGGCCTAATGGTTAGACAGTCAGAGCATGAACATTTGTGTGTGGAAATTCTCACACTTCAGAGTTTCACACTTCAGATTGTATAAGTCATCCATTTGATAGTCATTCATTCTAGAGCTGGAAACATTATAAAATACGCATGGCTTGTGGATTGTGCTGAAAATTGTTGCCACTATTTGCTGGTGGTGAGCCAATCTCTCTGTGTTCCGATGTGGAACTTGGTAGATTTTCTTATCTTTAACGCTGACCCTGATACATTATATATTCAGATTCAAAGCCAAATGTAATAATTTGATTGTAGTTTGAATCCATCTGTATATAATTATAATAGCTGAAGAAAACAAGGCCACATGAAAATTTGTTGGTTTGGTGAGAAAAACATGTTGATTTAGGAAGCATAATTTTAGCAGGGAAGCATAATTTATGTTTATGTTCTGTTTAATCTCACTCTTGTTTGCTCTACGTGATTTATCTCAGGTGCTTTGCATAACACCCATAGCATTTTCAAATAGGAATTTCACCTTGTCTAGCTTCCTCATGCCTTAGTGAAGAATCTGCATTGATAGCTCAGTACTTATATTGTAAATCTGTTTTCTGCTAGACGTTATCAGTGCAGTAAATTCAGCAGTAATAATGATACAGGAATTTCAGGTGCCTTTAAAATACAGAGACCACCTTTCTTTTTATAACAAACCAAGCTTCCATTGTAAGTTATCTGGTATGCGTCTAACAGATAGAACACATCATTTTATCTTGTGATTTCATATCAGAAGTAACATGGAGTATATAGTAAACTTGGCACAGGCAGAATAATTTTTTTTCCTGTATTTGTACATAACATTTGCATAAAGTATACTATATGTCTAGTGCAAACTTTTTATCTTTTAGCTTTGGAGCGGGACAGTAGTCCTAGTGACCATTTTCACTGGAACTGGGGGTGAATGGAACTCTTACAATATAAATACCTGTTCCAGTGAAAGCTGGTCAGTGGAAACTTATCTCTTAGTTTGGAGTGAATTTCCCTCATTTCCTTATTTGTCACTGGGACAAGAAGTGAAGGAAAATGTCCCCAAAAAGGCATAGACAACATAAAAACTGACAGGTGTTCTACCCACTCCCTGCTTTAATCAAAATTGAAAAAGTGATATCGCTTTTTTAAATAAAAAATAAAAAAAACATGTCATACTTACCTGCTCTGTGCAATAGCCCTTATCATCTTCTTTTTGTGTCCCTGCTGGAATGCCTGGCTCCTCCCCCTTGACCAGTGCCCCCAATAGCAAGCCACTGGCTGTGGGGCACTGGAGCATGCTCGCTCCTGATCCGTGTTCTATGCATTCGTAAGACATATAGAGCCACAGCTCGGCCTGGTCCTCCGCTCCCTCCTCATTGGCTCACGGGCTGTAATTGACAGCCGTTGGAATTAATGGCTCCCATTGCTGTCTCCCAGCCAATGAGGAGAGATAGACCCAGGACAGCTGAGACTCCCATGCACATCGCTGGATTGAAAGGGGCTCAGGTGAGTATTAGGGGGGCTGTGAGGGGAGCAGCACACAAGTTTTTTTTTAAAAAAAATACTCTTTTTTTACAGACTGTGCTTAGTTTGAAAGTAATCCTGTGCTGACAAGGACACTTTAAGCAGTGGGAAGATTTGTAAAGAAATAATATGTCAAAAACAAGTGTGAAACACTTCTGACCATAATGATCACCTTAGCAATTTCCTGAAAGTGTTTGATTTTCTTAAAAAACCTATACAACTTCCACTCAGGTTTGAATTTGTAAGTCATGATATCACATAGGTAAAGATCAAAAGTGCGACGTATATAAATATAATCTTAATGTGATATAACTAAATAAATGAGGAACTCCCTCACCACTTGTGTATGAAGATATTACCGCACTCACCAGATTTTCAGCTGCTAACGCAGCCAACAGCACATATATAGCAAACACAGCCTCTTCTGTATGGACCTCCAACTCCAACCACACTCATGAGGTTTCTTGATGGTAACAACACACGCCAATCAAGGATGCTAGACCATGTGCAATGCCACTGTATAGAAAAATGTGCTCACCACAAGGAGCCAAATACCAGAAGGGCCTTCTATAGTGTAGTCATTGTATTAGTGGTATAGTCATATAGTCATTTATTATTTAAGTCGTATAAACAACACATTACCCGCTTCCTGTCTGCCCATTGCACATAGACTGCGGATGAGAAGCTTTGCCGATGCAGGCTAACGTACCTGTATGTCAGCCTTCATTGATTGCTCCTGCGCGGCTCACAGAGTGTGCACCCTGTAGCCTGGCAATCCATGTGTCGCCCAGACACAGCGGATCACATTACCGCTGTATCCGGGCAATCACATGGTGTTTTTTACCATGTGACTGCTGTGACCAATCACATCACTCACTAATAGTCTATGCACATTAGTATTTCATTGTTGTATAATGTTCTGCATTATAAGGACTTTCTGATAGCAGCTCACATATTCTGACTGTATTTTTAAGACTCTCCCAAAGTAGAAAAGTTTTGACTTGCAGACCCAGACATTCTGATATTTAAAGTGTTACTAAGCCCACAACAGTAAAATATGACTGTATATGCAGTAAAGCATGCTTGTTATACTCATTATGGAACTTAAGTGGTTAATCCTCAACATTATATAAAAAGAATGTTGGATCCTCTCTTCTCTGATCCTCCCTTTCTTCCAGTGTCTCTCAAATATCTCCTGATAGAACAGCAGCTAGGGGCAAGCTGCACATGATCAGTTTGGTGTGCATTGCTAGAGAGTATTTTTCTTTCTTGGGAGAGGGCATGTGATCAGCACAGGCCCAATCATTACTCTCCAGGTCCTCCTACAAGCTGTAACCAGTGCTCTGCTGGACACTGATAGAAGTCACAAGACTTCTGTAACTGCTGATGAGAAAAGGTATTTAGCAGTTTATATTTACTAAAATAGTTGCATTTCTATGTTGTGTGTACTGTGGGAGACCAAATATAGTGAATGCAGAGTCCTGGGTTTAGTAAGCTTTAAAGCATAATATACTGCAGCTTACCAGTCCCTAGATGACGTGGCCGCATTCATATTTTCAGTTTTTTTTTCTCCTTTGTATACCTTTGAATAACACATATCTTATCCCTGTTTAGCCATGCTTATCCTTCACTTTACCAACTGGAGGGAGTGATGGTTGTCTTGCTGGCTGGACATTGAACATGCCTTCCTCTCTTCAACCCCATCACATGGGAAGGGGAAGGATTAGTAGTTTACAGAAATATGACAATTGTTTGTGCTTTCAGTACAACTCACAGTAATTGACAAAGGACATGTGTATATACCTTTTCATATATATTCTAGTTTGTATTTGGAGGTTACTTTGTCATTGTTTTGGTTTCAGACATCCAACTCTCGTGGCTTCACAAAAAACATGAAGCTGGAGGCTGTTAACCCAAATAATCCCTCAGAAATCTGTGTTGCATCTGTGACCAAAGTAAAAGGGAGATTACTATGGCTCCATCTCGAAGGTACGAAATGTCTGTTTTTTTATCTGTTTGAATTTTATTTTATAGGCACACACTTATGCACACAAGAATTACTTCTTTTGATATGAAGATCATATATCCAACACATTAAAACAGAAAAGGAAAAGGAAGTTGTGGTTATCATATTTCACATTTGTTGGTGTATAAATAAAAAGCTGTATCTGCTGTAATAAAAATCTTCTTTGCTGTTAGGTAAAACTAAGATTTAAATATAAGAGACTAGTTACAGAAAATGGAACTGGTAAATGCATGCACTAAATTGTCATGTTTAAAGCAGAATATTTATGTACAAATGTTCAGTGTTAAAGCTGAGCTTCATACACATATACAACAGAATAACACATAAAGAGATGTTTTCTTTAAAAAATATAAAATGTAAAGCTATTTTACAGTCTTTGAATCTCTTTTGATATCAACCTCTTATGATATCAACCTTATCAGTGTGCCCCTTCATTGTCCTCTTCATTGTCACAAGGTGGGAAAGGGTAGTGTGAGGAGCTGGATCACCTGCTGGTGGAACTGTGGTTCCCAGAGCAGAAAATTGTAGTTCCAGTGTCCACCAGCGGTTGTCTCCCAGCAGCCAGTAGATCCCAGTTATCAGTCCTCCTTCGATGCTGGCTGCTGGGAGGGTATTTAGTCCTTTCTCTACTAGTACCTTGTGCATCAGTTACTGCCAGACACTGCTTGCTAACCTGACCCTTCCCCTTATCTGTTCTTGCCCTGCATCCTGTACCCCACTGCCTTCTATCTACTTCTCTTGATTCTGATCCCAGCCCTGGCACTTTCCTTGCATCACTGGTACTACCCTAATTTTCTGTGTTCCCCATTTTATATATATTGTATATAGTTAGTTTGCTAGTTAGGCTTTCTGTTATTTAGGTAAGTTGCTTGTTAGGTATTTTGTCATTTAGTTATGGTTCACTTGTATCTTCACATTTGCTGTGTATCATGTTTGTTGGTGATTGGATGTGTTTTGTTTCATTGTTAATAAGCTTGCTTTAGTCGTATTCTATTTAGCCTGGTCTCTGTTGCTGGTATCCCTGACAGGTAGTGACCTTGCTGTATTGTTTTACTGCTATTGAAAAAGTCAGGTCACCATATGTACATTCTAGAAGGGCTGTGTAAATCTGAATGGACAGAAATACAAATCCATTGGCAGGTAAAACAACTCTTGTATGTGTATTTTGAATATGTTTTGCCTGGAGTAATGGTATAACCTGGTATTCTTCTTTTGTTTTGCACTGCATTACAGCCACCTAGGCTCTGCTCTGTATTCCAGCTAGTGCAAAGTATAACTTTGTTCATCACCTAAATCTTATGCAAACTTTCAATGGGTAGAAGTTTATAAAATATATGAGTGGAAACTCCCTAGCTGTTATTACCACTGCTAAGCAAGTATCATAAAGTAGCATTTATTTGGTGGTTTGGCTGTCATTTCCATGTAAGAAGAAATTCTCCTTTAAACAAGTATTATTCAATTCAGTTATTACCAATCCCAGGGACAGCTCACGGTGATTACCTTTCTCTGTGTAGTCTGGATATGTTCTTAGAGCCAATAACAACACACTGAAGATTGTTTAGTGATATACTGCATGCTTTCTTACCACAAAAATATAATTAATAATTGGTGTAATTCAAACTTTTCACACCACACTGATTGCAATGCCTCTCATTAACACACTTATTTAACATTTTCTTGGATGTTTATCTCAGGTCTACAACAGCCACCTCCAGAATATATAATTGATGTGGAATCAGTGAATGTTTTCCCTGTAGGATGGTGTGAAGCTAATTCCTACCCCCTGAGCACACCACACAGAGCAGCCGGTAAGTCTCATACATCATACCAAAAATAACTGTGATGGCAATACCATAGAGTCTGGAATACATATATGTCACTGTGATTGTAGCATATGCATTTAAAATATTGCACTGAAATAAAAATATATAACTAGCTTACATGAAATTAATTTTTGATATGATGCTAGTATTTGTAAATATGTGCTGTTCAACATTTCTTGAGGGTATTTATTGTACAAAGATTTGGTACTTCTTTCTTAGGCATCCTAATATTAGACTGCTTCAACTGTTGGGTAAGGATTACTCTGCAGGGTTTCCCTATGGCAGAATAGCAATTGCTTCCAATAGGGAGCAGTACTTGGTATTACAAACAGAGATTTTCCAACTAATTGAAAACCATTGTGCCAGCTGGCTCCAATAAATTCCCTTGTATAGAGAGAAGGAAATCAGTATTTCACACAGCACATTATCCATATAGGGTGATGAAAGTCCTGTCAAAGCAGCAATTTAGGGAACGTAGCATATCTAATTATCAGATATTCCTGGTGAGAAATCTGCTTGTCTATGGCTAGGACTACAAGAGGTTTCATTACAGGTACAACTTATGTAGGAGGAATGGCTTAATCACTATGTATCACCTAAGGCTAGTGATTTCACTGGGTATATATAAGGGTTTACAACCACTTTAACCATTGCGTCTCAGTAAGAGGTAACTGTCAACAAGGATTAAAACCCCTAAGCCTGGTACACACTATACATTTTTTTGTTCAACCCAGTGGACTGAATGGTAAAAGACCAACAGATTTCTGTATTAACACAAGCAATGCTAGTACAGTGGTCTCCCATGCAGTGCTGTTGTGTTCCGACAGGGGGAATACCCCCCAGCCAGTATACACTGAAGAGAGGCTGATTTTCCAACATGCCAGTTCAACAGAAGCCAGTCATGAGGTTTTTGGCTTGTGTGTATCTGGCATTAACAGCACAGAGCCAACATGTAGTCATAGTGTTATTCTGTACTGTTAGCACCCCTGCTGAGTGACTGCTGACATAACAGAATAAACCTCCTAGATATTTCATTGTTTTCACCCTTGTATTTGTTTCAATCAGTTTAACCAAACTGACATATTTGGACTGGGAGTGAGAAACAATACAACACAATCACACTGCAGTATGTCTAAGGAAAACATTCAATCTGCATACAATATATCAGACTCATTATATTTATATGGACGTCAACAAACCTTTGCCTTGCAAATCAGTTGATATTTAGATATTCTTAAACAGGGTTCCATGGAACCCTAGCATACATCTAGAGGTTACTAGGGGTTCCTTTGAGCTGTGGTTGATTGTCCTCCTATTTGATGGTGCCAGCATAGTTCCAGGCCTATATCACTTGGCAAAGCCGGCAGCATAACACCAATGATGTTTTTAGCCATCTGTAAGAGTGTCATTCTGGCCACCACTCTAAGGGTTTGCAATCTTCCTTTTGATCACAACAGTAAGAGACATTTTTCCCACTGACCTCTGACGAACTGGTTTTAGTAAGAGTTCCTGGGTTAGTAAGAGACCTGAAAATTATTTTGCGGGTTCCTCTGGGGTAGAGAAATCTGTTCTAGATCAGAGCAGATGGGATTGCCTCTCGATGCCATATGAAGTTTATGTATTAGTTATGCTAACTACAGTTGCTAAGTTGCCTCATGTATTGTAAAGTTTTGTAAAGTATCACCAGGGTCTAAGAAGAATAATGAAATTATAAAAGGCACAGATCCATTCCTAGTTAAAAGGAATTGCTCAAGTAAGGTGTGGAATGGCCATGCTTGTTCCCGTCTCTGTATTAGTGAGAACATTTCATAATATAGTATAAAGAGCAGCAGCATGCTGTTTCCTAGTGTCATGAAAAAAAAACTCTGAGCAACTGTAGTAACATATCCGAAGGTAAACAGACCTCGATCTCAAATTCAGTGCAACAGTGACTTATCCCCCCCTCCCCCCTCCGATATTTCATTTCATGCACGCACACTGAAATAACTATTCCCATGTATCATGAAGGAAAGACTGATGACATGGTTGGTAACTGATGGAATTAAATGCCCAAAAATCTTTGTGACAAGTGTTAAGCTCAGTGTTATTCACTCCCTGCCCCCTTCACTATCCATCTATTGCTCTCAATGTTCAATTCTCTTACAGAGCAAAAAGCAGGTACAGCGTGGCCAATCTGAAATCCTATCAGCAATGTGTAGTATTTTCTCCAGCAATTCAAATAAATATTATTTAAAACATTTTTTATTTAACTAGGTGTTTTTTAAAATCTAATTTGGATTTGAAATAATGTCCCTGGGTGTACCGGCAGTTTAGTAGGCTGCTTGGACAGACATGCATCTCACACCTGTTCTGTTCATCTTTCATCGTATTTCTCATCTTTAAAACCTGTGCAACTAATTGCTGGCCCCTAAAAGGGAGGAAACACGTTGTGTGAGAACTGTAACAAGAGTTCCACATTCCTCACTTACACCAATGTGTTTTCTGCTAGACCCTGTAACTGGAACTGAGTTCAACACACCAATATATAAACTAATCCTAGTGTGAGATTCCCAGGCATTAAAGCACATTCATGCCTAGTGAAAATGCGCAAAGCTTTACAAACTGTGTATGTTTGAAATATGTCTTTTCTCTGGCTTGTATTACTAAGCCATTTAACATAAGTTAAATGGAGCATTACACAGATCTCATATTTGGATCTTATGCTCAGATATAAATTACAAGCCACTGTGGCCAATTAAAGCTCTTCCAGTTACTCCTGTAAGTGGCAGTAATGCACCCAGATTTTTCACTGTCAACAGATACAGCCTGGCAAAACCATCTGATCTGAGCAAAAGGGACACTTTCATATTGGCAGGAGTTCCTGAAGCTGTTATGTAATCAGTTACACTGTTCAGTGTTTTCAGCGAATGATTCATATGGCATAATTAGAGATCACAAGCTATGCTGTGAGTTAAGGCATTTCATTATGCATGCACTCAAGCATCCCATGACCTCCACACACACAATTAAGGTAATTGTTGACCTATTAAGAGCATACATAACATATGTGCCTCCTTTAGCTATGAAATGAATTGCTAATAAGCAACAAGAGAGAATATTTCATATCCCACCTACCATCTGCAATTAAACCTTACACATTAATTTTATCTATAACTAATGGCTGCTGCAAGTTCCCAAATGTCATACTAAAGAGCTTATTATTGATTAAAACGATGGAAAAACAAATTGCAAGCAGTAATGACGTATAATTTATAGCAAGCTGGGAAGTATATTCAGGTCTGAATTCAAATACATTTAAAGTTTACATCAGGAATATATAATCTTGCTATATCATATAATATAGGTGTTTAGAAATAGATTTGCTTCTTTCCATAACAGTTTTTCATATTGTATTTAACATTTACAGTCAACTAAATTAGGTAATGATAACAATATTAAGGAAATTATTTTTTTTATACAATTTAATTACCTTTTAGTACAACTGATGCAGTAAATGTGAACAAAAGGCCATTATTAACAGGATAATTGTAATGACAATTTTAATTAAAATATAACTTTGTTTTTATAATATCTAAAGTTTATAAGTTGTCTACAGTACTTCCTCCATAGACAAGTGATAGCTACTAAGGATCATTGGCCCTTGATGGCTCAATAAAGATATCATCTTTCATAAGGTCTTAGGCTGCCCATACATGTTGAAATTGTATTATTCAAAGACAATTTAGATTTTTCACCTATATCAAATAAATAATCCGCTATTTTCAGTCAACCTCTTAGCAGTTGAGTTGCGAGCGTGACAGATAATCCAATTACTTTCTAGCAGATTGTTAGGTGAACTTTCAGTTTTTTATCAGGTTGTATTTGATCACAAGTTTTTTTCATTGTAATAAATCTAGCTCAATCTAGCTCAATCCATGAAATGTAAGATTGACAGTCAATCAAATGTGTTAATGACAGGTTGTATTAGTGATTACAATCTGGTTGGAAGTAGTTGAAATAATCTAGCTTTTGCTATGTGTAATGAAGGAGTGGCCATAAATCTGGTCCCAGTATAATTTCTGTTGATCCGCAAATTTTAAATTACTCTAAACATTTATTTGGATTGTCATGGCAACATTTTTTTTGGTGTCCCAGACAATGAGAAAATGAATGATTGAAGTGCCTGAGGACACTGTTCACACGATTTTAGAAAATGTTATAGCACCAGCCCTCTAATATTTGGATTCTGCAAACAGCCTTACTTATAACCATGCATAGGCAGATTATTTTAAAATATATCTTCTTTGCAGCAGCAACCAAAGTCAATGCATCATCTGTATTTTGTAACGCTATTGAAACAGTCCCTACTTTAAGCATATTATACTTTGCTTGATATGTGTTTGAAAATTAATGTGTTATAAGAATACATTTTACAGAAAAAACATACAATTGTATTTGAATGTATAATTCATTATTCAGCAGAGTTTAAAATTGTCAACCACTTGTGTTAATATATTTTATTTTAGTTTAGAATAGCCTAGAAGTTGAAATCTTAATTATACTGATGGATCTTGGGATTGCAATGCTATTTTAAAACAAGTAATTCATTACTCTTTTTAAGTGAAAAAGAAGAGAAAGATTGCGGTTGTACAGCCAGAAAAACAGTAAGTTACTTCTTACTTACATAAAACGATACATCATTTCTTTAATATTTGATATTCAGGCACCATATCTCTTAAGAATTCCAGAGAGAATATATGTATATATGGGTCATTTTATATGCTGCAACAACCTTAGGGCCTCATGCACCTGGGCTCCAAAAACAATGCTTTTAAGGGTGTTTGACATTTTTCTTTACCTCTAAACACCCCTCCATGTTAGCCTGAGGGGGAGATTTACTACAATTGTAAAATTGGTGCCCACAGAATCTGGTGCAACTGTGCACAGTATCCGATCAGCATCCAACTTTATCTTGTTCAATTAAGCTTTGACAATAAAACCTGGAAGCTGATTGGTTAATATACAAAACTGCACCACTTTTAGTAAATCTCCCCCCTATGTATCAATGCACACATAGGCGTATACAGGAGTTTAGTGGAAGGAGAAAAAAGCCCCAACACGTGCGCATTCAGAAGAGGAGTGTTTGGGTGAAAAAAATGGCAAATGCACATTAAAGTGGTTGAAAATCTCATACATGGAATAAGAACAAAGCATATCTCTCTATAGTATGCACTTGTCTCAGTTAAGAGCACTAAGTGTGATTGCTGCTTCGTTCCTCAGCTATCAGCATGAATCACTTCTGTCACGTATTCCTGACAGCAAGAGAAAAAATGTGTCAGGGGAGAGATCTCCAGCATATTGACACTGACAGCAAGAGGAAAAAGGTGTCAGGGGTGGGACCTCCAGCATATTGACACTGACCGCAACAGAAAAAAGGTGTCATGGATGGGACCTCCAGCATATTGACACTGACAGCAAGAGAAAAAAGGTGTCAGGGGTGGGACCTCCAGCATATTGACACTGACCGCAACAGAAAAAAGGTGTCAGGGGAGGGATCTCCAGCATATTGACACTGACAGCAACAGAAAAAAGATGTCAGGGAGGGACCTCCAGCATATTGACACTGACAGCAAGAGAAAAAAGGTGTCAGGGGAGGGACCTCCAGCATATTGACACCCTTAGATCTCTTCCTCTGTGCTGTGTGAAGGGAAGTGTGTTCCTTCCCTCCAATCAGCTCTCAGAGTTCTTCTTACTGAGCTCTGCAGAGTGTAATTTCAGCTCTCCGCTCCATGTTCTCTGACAGCTCAGACAAGCTTTAGAAATCCTGGACTTTGAAAGGATAAAGCGAAGAGAAGACAGGTACAACTTACATAGGATAGTTTGTTTAATCTCTTTGTATCACCTGTGGCCAATCACTTCACTGGGTATATGTATGGGTTTTACAACCACTTTAATGCTAGACACATCTAAGTGCGTTTACGCTTTGCGCGTTAATGCATTTAGTGGCCAGAATAAATGAATATCCTGGCCAATGGAATGCATTAACGTCAAACGTGCTACTGCACATAAATGTGCATGTGAAACGTGGCTTTAAGCACATTTTTTAAAGCTGTGTTTTTATCCCCTGGAGCAAAGGCGTCTAGGGGAGGAAAACAAACATGCCTAATAGCTTTATGTTGGGGAGATAGGTCAGCACATTCCATAATGTAATGGGAGAAGCCCTCCTCCAAGCTTCCTCTAGTTGATGCTTCCTGTATTTCTTAGATTCTTGGCAGAGGGGTATAATAGTTAAATACTCCATTTCTGAATAATGTCAATTCATTATAAAATGAAATTAAACCTATAAAGAAAGGTTATTAATGTATGTTTGCACTATAAATTGTTATACAGTGGAATCAATTCTCTACTCCTTTTGTAAAGCTTCTGACAGGAGCAGGAGATTCAGACCTGAAACTATTTAGATCCCCGTAAAAACAAAAAAACAAAAAACAGAAATAAGAAAAAGTCATTTGTATTCTATAGACAATAGTCTATTCCAAATGTCTTAATATCAGAAACAAGACACAATTTATAAAAGACATTGCATAGTACATTACCATTTACATCTCTAGTGCCTTTTCATTAGTCTTGACATTAACGCAAAGAAGCCCATAAAGCAGATTTCTGTCCATTACATGCAACATTAAAAAGCAAATATAACTTTTCAGGGTGGAATTAGTGTTGTGTTGATGATTTTAACACCAGTTTTATTGACGTTGTAAAACCAAAAAATTGAACTGAAAGTGGATGAGCTCCAGAGAGGCGATCCTCTAGCAATAATTTTTTTTTTTCATCTAGTCAACTTGGCAAAGTTGGTATTTGACAGACTATAAAAGCTGTTTAGTAAATGCATCATTAATGTCTGAATTTAGTGTTATGGTTCTGTGATTATAGAAGAATTTAGCCAAATTGGTATTTTGTGTGTTTAGATTTAGATGAGCCTTATGCATTTTTATGGTACTGTGATTACAATTATTGTAATTAAATTGTACTGTGTCATTTTAAAATGGAATGCATTCAAGTAACACACACATTTATTTATTATCTGTGTGATCCTGAGTTGGTGGTATACAGTCTCCAAGCTCAGTACATCAATTTGTTTCTTTTTCAGTACTGAAATTATAGTAAAAGTTGAAAGTTGTAGATACACAGACTTTTTTAAAAAGTTCCAATGCTGATTCCACTGTTATTAATGCTATCATGTTCGCATAACTGAAATATTCGGCCGGCACATTACTGCAAGATAAGTCCACCCTACATTTTGAATAGTTTTGCTGGCAGGGAGGTAAAGTCGAGTCCTGTAAAAAATTGGTCCCTTTGTCATATGATGTTGTCACATACAATACGCAACGTAGCAAAAACGGCTTGTATTTTATTTTCATTATCTCTTATTTTTCTTTGTTAAATGAAGAACACAATTGTAACTCAAAAATAAATAATCTGTTTCACTAATATGGAATTTGTATTTCATAGATTGCCATCCTCAGTGCCTGTAGAGAAAATACCTCATGACCCTTGTCCGTTTCCTCAAACGGATAATTATTCAACAGGTACAACAGCTTGGATTAGAGTAATGATGCCATTATAAAAAGATATGTGTGTTAATGACTGATGTGTAATTTTTTATGTTACTGTATGTAAACACTGCCATGATAGGGTTACATTTATCCCTGCCAAAAGCTACTTTAGGGAAAGACAAACCAACCTAATCTGGCCATATGAAAAAAGTAGAAGTCACCCTGTACTATGTGGTAGCTTTACTGAAAGCAGATAATCTGTTTGCTGAGGACATTTTTTCCTTACCTTAGTGAATGAGGTGAAGCTCTACTGACTTTCATCGTCCAATCATGTGTAAGAAAGAATACTGTATTTTAATATTGTTCCTTGCCTATGATTCAGTATTCTTTGCAATATGATTTTTATATACCACATTCACTATTCTCTGGGGAAAATTCTCTTGCAAGGTGAACAGCCTATTTGCCCTTTGTAAATAAACCTCTTCCAGCAAGTTTGTTTTTTGGTTAGACAAGTGAGCCTAATTTACTGATGCATTAAATAAAGTTAATTACAGAGACATGTGAATGCAAAAGCTACTAATAGCAGCTTAATGCAATTTAAATCCAGCATAAAGCAACATCTTGAGCAACAGGAAGGTAAATTATTGCAAGTCAAAGCATCTCAGAAACACATGAAAGAATCTTGCACTTGACCCATTTATGAGTTTTTAAAGAGACGTATGGCCAAATGCACTTACTAATGCTTAATTGTGACCCAGAATCAGCCTCAGCTGATGTTAGAGTCGCTCCAGGCTCTGGAAGGATCCTGACAATAATGTCAGGATTCACCCAGATGCCTGATTGGCAGCTGGCTCAGCCTCTCAGCGTGCCACTAAGCCCCTTTGCCAGCCATTCCCCAGCCCCATGCTCCAGTGAACATCGGAGGGGCAGAGCAGAGAGTGGTGACAGCCACTGCTTTCTGCTCAGAGCAGACTGAGAACTGAGTGATCAGTGGTTATTTCGTTGCTTAGCTCTTGGGCTTAGAGCTGGCAGGAGACAGCTGCAGCAGGGATGTGAGTCTAGATGTTTGTTTTTTACTATTCCCACACTTCATTTAAAGTCCATTTACACAAATCTTTCTGTGTCACCTGAGATTGGATTGTTGTCACTGAGTCATAGACTTGCAAGGACACAAAATAGTACAACTGTGCGGGGCCACTTAACAGGAAGTACATCTTGTATATATAATGGCACCATATTTTTTTTTTCAATAGGCACATTTATTTACACTTTAACACACATTGATAAGGTCATCTGTATGAAGCATAGTGAAATTTGGTAAAAATATTCACATTGCCATTTCTATTGTAAAGCACTGTGAAAACTGTTGGCGCTATATAAATCCTATATAATATTAATTGTCATATAAATCTTGTTGCTCTTTCTGTCTAGGAACCAGCAATGGAAAATACTGTTGTCCCAGACTGTATATCAATCACCGTTGCTTTTCAGGACCGTATTTAAATAAAGGTCGAATAGCAGAACTACCTCAGTCAGTAGGTCCTGGGAAATGTGTGTTGGTTCTTAAAGAGGTATGTGGCTCAGATATTATTTTGGTATAATAAACTGTTTGATTCAGTTATTTTTCATAAGTGTTCATATAGCCCAAACTCTTTGTTTTAGAGTAGAGTAGGGAAGGATTAGGTCTTTATTGCTGTCTGTGTCCCTGCTAGGTAGAAAAACCTGTGTATATATATATATATATATATATATATATATATATATATATATATCCCATTGATCATTGTGATAATGGGAAATGCTAGGAAACCCAACATTTTGCAGGAGTCATCAGAACAAGAGGTGAGGTTACATTTTCGAAGGAGTTGTTCCAGTGACTAACATGGGAATTACCCTCCCTTCGTAGAGATGTTCTCTTACTTCCTCTTGCGTTTTTAAATACATAACTGTATTAAAATAGTAAAAGTGCAGTTATTATTGCCCCTGTGTGGAGGATATCCCCTCATTGCCTTTCAATGACCAAACAGAGACACAGACAGCAGTAAGAACCTGACAAATGTTCTATTTTTCCCCAGATATTTTCACAGCTAAATAAGGTTTGGCTAGAGATTGCTCGCATGAAGAATTCTAGCTACAGAACAAAATTGAAACCAATATAACACAATGAGACTGATTTACTAAAGAAGATGAGCATGTTCACGCGATAAATTGTGTGAATATTCACTTCAGTTATCCAATCATGTGAAAAGCAAATTCCTGTTTACTTATATTATCTGTACCGTACATAATTGGATAATTGAAGAAAAAATTGATACAATATATTTTCACACGTTTAACTCCCTAAGTAAATCATCCTCATTCTTACTGTTTTTATTCTTAAATATGATTTTGTTGATTTTCTTATTGTGGATTTTAGAAACGCGTATTGTAAAAGGGTGAATTGTTTGCTAATAGTGGGATACTTTAATAAAAATCATATGGCATAGTCATTACATACATAAAGTATTCTATATATTAAAACATTTGGGGGATAAATTAAATTATATATCTGCAGATGGATTTGCCGTTTTCAAGTACACTGGCTCAAAGTAAGGCTGCATTGCATTGAAAAATAAAGCAGGTCTCCAGGACTGTCAGAATTTCTAATTCTTCATTATTCATTCTTAAAAATGTGGGGTTTTGCCTGGTGATCCATTGGAGGGCTCCCCAGTCACTTTATTTCCAACAGGACACAAGTGGCAATACTCCTTCCTTGTTCTAACCCTTCCTTGCTTTGCTTACTGTATCTGAAACATACAGTATAATATTTTATAATATAAAACACTAAATGTTTTGGATAAAGTAGAACTTTAAAGATGTCTTCTCTTCAAAGAAGATTTTGGATTAATAGGAATGAATAATTTTAAAATGGTCTTGTGATGGACTAATTGCCATAAGGGAACTGCTAGAGGTTCAAAGAGACATTAAGCCCAAGGCTTGGCTGTATTTCTACCTAAATGTATGACTGCAGAATATCTCATTTGTGTGCTACAGACAACAGTTATATTACATGACCATATATGCTCATTACTGATCTGCTGGCACTGCTGATCTAAGCAGTATATAGATGTACGTGGCTTAGAAATCCTCAACCATGAATTGGACAAACTAGTTTATGCTACTTTGGGAAATAAATGTTTATGTGTTCTATACATATATCTTTTGTGCAAGAAATACGTGCTGAAAATTTTTTTTCACACAATGGGCTGTATTTAGGGTTTGTGTTTATAGGCAAATGCAGCTTGCCTCATGCTTGCATTTGAGGTCCATATGAAACCTTTTTTTAGACCATTGAAAGTTCATTCATAGATGTATTTGAGCTCCTTCATCTGCATCAACCTACGTCAAGCTGTTTTTATATTACCCATGACTTTTATTGAGAAGAGAATCGGTTTTGCCATTGAAAGAAGCCTATTAAAACTTGACCTTTATATATCTAAATAGCTCAGTCCACTTGACATGTCTCAAGAAAGGTACATGAGGCATCAATAGTACTAGTCGGGTTGATTTACTACAGGCATAGATGTTGTTTACTTAGCAAAGTGGCCCTTGATTTTGAAGCGTGAAAATTCCCTTAGCATAGTAGATAAGGTAAAGCTGTGTTCAGTTTGAATACCTAAAAATTAAAAAGGCACGATTTTCTCTTGCACATAAATGGATGATTCTCTAGGCTACATTTATGTGCATTCACTTTGAAGAGTAAATTGTCACTTTGCTAAGGAAATGGTCTCAACTCTAAAATCACGTACACAAGGGTATGGCCTCAAACTAGCAGAAGGAAAATTCCAAACCAAAGTATTTTTTTGCCATAATAGTACTTGATGCTTCGAATAGACTTCCAGCAGAGTTCCTTAGAAAAGAAGTTTCTAAATGTTTTTCAATATACATAAATAAAAAAATGGTGCAGACTTAATGGACCGCTTGTTTTTTCTCTTTTTTCTACATCTCTCTTATGAGCCAGGAACTTCCAGGGGGAATGTACAAAGTTAAATGGAACATTAACATGAAGTATGAGTTTATATTAGATACCCTGGATACATCTATGCCCCTTTCTCAGTTTTCATACTCTACTTCTTAAAATGTATAGAATAAAAATGCTGCTGGTCATTCTATTATGCCAATATATGTTTCTCTGGGCTGACCATAGGCAAGGATTTTTACACAGAGCCCTGCAATATATACCCTACAGCAAAGAGTTTCTTGTAAAAAATTTATATTTTTCTATGTTTATTACATTACCAAGAACAATTCATCTGCAAAAATGGAGCCATACATGTGCATATTTGCCCATATAATTGACCAGTTTACCCTACAACTAAATTGTAATGCTTTAAAAATCCAACACTGCATGACAGAAAAAAGATTAGTGACCTTTTTAAATTAGATCTGGCTTTAAAGTTGATCTAGCTATTTCCACATACTGCTTCCTACTAACTAAAAAGAGGAAACTTATAACCCAGCATTATTTCTTACATGAGCAAGTTATTTATACACTAGTAACAGATACTACAGTTTATATGGCAATAAGCATTACAATTAAAAATGCTTTTTATTTTCTCACTTAACGCTAAGATGGAAGGTGGAAAAGATCACTCTAATAAAAAAAAATGCTATTTGCTGAATTGCAGAAATATGTAAGAATGTTTTTTTAATGAGGGATGAGCACAATTGGTTTATTATTAACTGAGTTACGGATGAGCATTGTCACTGCTGCCGAGGCTTCCATCTTCACCCGGTCTGCCTTCTGGGTTTGCGGGCTGCAGCTGCTTGAATGGCTGAGTCGTGATGACGTCACTCACACAAGTCATGGCCATGGCACAGCGCTCTGCAGGAACAGCACCGGTATGTTGTTCCTTCAGAGCACGTACACTGTTGATGTCACTGCCTGCCAAACAAGCGAATATCTCCTATACGGTGCACATTTAGGAGATATTCATTTAACCTTCAGGCAAGCTTTATTGTAAGCTTACCTGTAGGTAAAAATCAAAATGTGAAGATTACTACTACTTTAAGTATTTACGTATTCTGAACAAACAGCTAAAGCATTTAAAGTGTTAATAAAGGTTTTGTTTTTTTTTTTAATAGCAAACATGTTATACTTACCTGCTCTGTGCAATAGTTTTACTCCTCTCCTGGGGTCTCCTGCTGGTGCTCTTTGCTCCTCTTCTTATCTGTGTGCCACCACAGGAAGCCACATCCTATAGTGTCACACATGTGGGCTCGATCCTGAGGGATTTATTGACACACACAATGTGGCTCTGCTTCACCTCCTCACTGGATTTGATTAACAGCAGCAGAAGCCAATGGCTCCTGCTGCTGCCTCAGTCCCTGTGAAGAGAGAGAGAGTGAGAGTAAGCACCACTGCAGTTTTTGGGCACTGCCTGTCTAAACAAGATGTGATGGGAAATCACTGCAATTGGCACACAAAACACTTTTTTAGTAGAGCCAGGAAGGGTTAGAATATATTGTTGGTGCTTTCTTGTCCCAGTGACAACTAAACCCCCACTTCTTTAGTTGACAGGGATGGGCATTTTTAATATCTTCCCCTCTGTTCAAGACTTAAAAATGCAGAATTTTGGCTTTTTTTTCTTAATAAAAAATACTTGGACAATTTCTCTTTCTTTATTTAAACTTAACAATTGTACAGCTAATAACGTACTATATATTTGTGGCAGGTCCTTAGTATGGTAATTAATGCTGCTTATAAACCTGGACGGGTCTTACGAGAGCTACAATTGGTGGAAGACACATCATGGAATTTTCAGGAAGAAACTCTTAAAGCCAAGTAAGTTCCAGCAATAATACACACAAGTTGTTTTTTTAGTGCTGCATTCAATCAAGTGAATTGTTATCAGAGTCAATTTTTCTCAATAAAATGTATACTATGTGACTGGTTTATAATTATGGCAGGTTATACTGGGCTTATTATGGTAATGCCAATAACAAATAGGCAGCTATGTTCTACCACAATCACTTAATTTGGCACTGCTGTGTAAGATAAATATAATACAGCAGGGTTTTTACAGCTGCACAGGAGATACTATTCACATGAATCAGACACAGGATATGCTTTTAATAACTTGTGCAGACCTGCCGCAACTTGAAAGGGATTCAAACTGAATACAGGCAGGCAGTAAACAATATGCACTTTATACACTGGCCTAGACAACCTAGCCTAGGCTTTTGACTATAATCTATACAAGGTGCTGTAGGAAGTTCTTCTAGGCTCACTGGAAGCAGCGGTGTGTCCTACATGTCAAGTTTGGCCATTTATAACTGTCGCAGCCAGGTACTCAAAGCACTTCTCCTGCCTCATCTGCTTTGTTAAATTAGCTCCAGGTTTTGGCACAACACTTGCTGCAAATAATCTCTACCTTTGTGGAGGGCTCATTGTTCTTGTGAATAATTAATCTCGCTTGCCTTTCATTAATATTTTGGTAGACTTCTCACCTCATAGGGAACCTCCCAATCCTTGCTGGGCAAGTGGTCCCAAACTTCATAGCAGATCCCTTTTTAGGGCACACCACCACCATGCTTGTTTTTCCCAAGGCAATGAGCTCTGTTCTTATACAGAGCAAACATGCCCAATGCAACAACCACCTAGTGTCACTTCTTTTTACTATGGGCTCAGCACATGCAGCAACCTTTGTACCAAGAGTCAACTAAGAAATGGCTTGTAGGCTGCCTCCATCACCTGTTAGTCGCAGAGGACTTGTCACTCTCATGGAGCAACACAAATTATGTGCTCTATGATAAAGTTGCTAAAGTGACAAAGTTAAAGTACAGATTTGGATGATTAAATCTAACCTTTTTGACTTGCTGTGAGTCTAATCCTTGCTCTCTTACAATTCTACAACTGCATCACTGGTATCTGACACTTCCAGGTATCTATGTCACTTTATGATACAGTGGTAATGTAGTGGCAGAGAAGAAACCATAGCACACAGTGGGGGATCAGAAGTTTAACCCACTTGGATTGTTGCACACCAGGGACAGCCAATGTGTTAATCATCTTGTTGTAAAAGACGTGCCCTGTACTTTAATGTCTTTAGTCTAGCAGCAGGGTCACTTTAATGCAACATTGAAACAATCCAGTTATAGCAGATTCCAAATTTAGGACATTAAAATTTAACAAAGAATTCTTTTTAAATATTCATGATTTTGCTTGGTTAGTGGATAATGGCTTTGTTTTCCTGCAACCGTCTTTTGTGAACCTAAAGGGAAAAAGAGAGAAATGTTCACTAGTTAGGTACATCTAAAAAAGAAAGTAAAATTAAAAGCAGCAGAAGTCCTTGTCTACATACCTCTTCTGGGTCATTGGCCTTGGGTGTTGAAACAAGAGTTTCAACTAGCACTTGTCGAACGACAAGTCAGCAGTGGCTGCCTGCATATTTCTTTCAGGACAGGTTTCCTTTATAGCCCATCTCCAGGCAAAACACATTTCCCCTTCCACCCTCTCTCATGTTTTTTAAATACCTTCTGAAGCAATCTTCTACTCACTCTTATTCTCACCTAAAGCAGCCCATAGAGAAGCCATTTTCTTTCGTTCAACCAGTGCATGGAAAAAAAAACAAAACAGACTCGATTTCCCCATCCACACACTCAATGTGGATGGAGGATTCCTCCCACTGTGCTTATTCTAGCAGCAGGTAGACTTCCCCACTGTGTCCTATTCTGACAGCAGGTAGACTTCCCCACCGTCAGAATACACTGAGCAAGATTGCAGGCTATATCTTGCAACAATGATCGAGCAGGGGTAATCCAACAGGGCAGTTATACAGAAGGCAATCAGTAGAATTAATTTTGTACAACCACCAATCCAAAAGACATACTATATACATACTACATTCTTAAAGAAGAATTCCAGGCAAAATTATTATTTCCTCATGCAGTGTGGCTGTATTGCATGGGTTAAATGTTAATTTTTGTCTTGGGGCTCGGAAAGTAAAGATATACTTATCTAATCCACCAATCCTCAGAGTGCAAGACTGGTCCCTGCTGCTCCTGCCCCCACACATGCTAGCGGTCTTGTGAATGGGCAGTCCCTGACGTCATCACGCCCATAGACCAGCTTCAGATATGAGGACAGCAGGAACAGTCCACCTCTGGATGTGAGGGAGTGCGGTTTTCCGGAGGATTGGAGAATTGGGTAAATACAGCTTTTCCCTGAGCCCCTAGACAAAATGAGCACTTAAAGCGGTGTTCCACTCACACAGTCAAAAAATAAAAATCAGCAGCTACAAAAACTGTAGCTGCTGACTTTTTAAAAAACAGCCACTTACCGGTCCCATGGTGTGTCCCCTGCAGCCCGTTTTACTGGCCGTCCTGTATTCCAGGAGGCCGGCATCTTCAGTGTGGGGACCGGCTGTGATAGCTTGCTGCTTCACAGCCGGGTACCCACTGCTCATGCACGGGTAGCGCTGCGCTTCATGAATGGTCCTGAAGTCTTCTGGGACCTGTTGCGTGTCCCAAAAGACTACAGGGAAGGAGGACACCTTCTGCTTCCAATCACCTAGGCCAGGGGTGGGCAACTGTGGCCCTCCAGCTGTTGCTGAACTGCAAGTCCCATCATGCCTCTGCCTTTGGGAATCATGCTTGTAACTGTCAGTTTTGCAGTGCCTCATGGGACTTGTAGTTCTACAACAGCTGGAGGGCCACAGTTGCCCACCCCTGGCCTAGGCGATCGGACTGGAAGTGGAAGCGGGTACCTGTCAAATCTGGGCACCTGCTCCCCCCCTCCCCCCAAAGGTGCCAACCCTTAATGGGGAGAGGGGGAGCAGTCCTTAAAGTGGAACTTCCCTTTTGGGTGAAGCTCCAATTTAACTCATGCAGTGTGGGCACCACCCCCCCACTACATGGAAATCAAAAGTTTTGACCGGAGTTCTGCTTTAACTATAATTATGTTTTGCAATTCATTTTCTTGATTTTTTTTTTTTTTGCTCTCAGATAGCAATATAATACACTTCACGCACTGATAGCAATATTCCAAGGAATGTGCCAACAAGTCATGAACGCTAATAAAGTGGAGTACAAAGATTGATCTTTTTATTGAGTGTTTGTGCATCTTTTTGTTATAAATTCCATCAGAAGCAATCAAGCAAAGCTTTTTTTATTCATTTCTCATATAGTTGTATAGGTATTTGAAGTTAAGGGGTAATGTTATACTGTACATATTAGCAAAATATATAAGATAAATAATTAGATTGCACACTCTACCATATGTGGAAAAACTGTCAAACAGTGGAAAATGTAGCTCAGCAAATAAGATGTCTAGCTGCATCTAGCTACAGTAAATAAACAGAAATAAATTGTAAAATGTTTCTTACCTTTTAAATACATTGTATTTTTTTTTCTCATTCTAGTAATGTGTTTAACAAATAAGGAAAGCTATAAATGTTGGGATTTTAACCTCTTACTATACTTATTCCCACAGCAATGGGTGCTCTGTGCTTCTTTTATAGCTATATGTAATATCATATTTTCATCAGCGTTAGTAAATCTGATTACAACAGATTTTTGTTATACCGGTTTATAGCATAGATTTACAGAATTTGAAGTATATTAAAAGCATGAAAAGATTTGTGTGCCTGCTCAGTCTGTTACAGTCAGGCAGCATATACTGAAATGAAGTGGAGGCATTCTGCCAAATTATTTCCAAGCAGCTGCTGCCAGTTTTGTTTCTCAAGTGTGCAACTGACTTCCTGACTCCAGGAAATGACAATCAGATATCTCTCTGGATCAATAACCTGCTGAGTATGTTTCTTAGTACTGTGCTCTCAAGTGCTGCGATTCCAGAGGCTAAGCCGCTAACTGAATCCCGCAAGAAACCCTGTGTGGGGATTTATTACATAAGGAAGATTGCCTTCACTTTCAATTTTAATAACTTCATGAAAAAAAAATCTCTTGATATAGATATACGGCAATAATTATTCTATTTTCTGTTCTGGTTTACTTACATTGTTACTAAACCTACAACAGTAAAATCTGTATATGCAGTAAAGCATGCTTGTTATACTCCCTGAGGAACCTAAGTGGTTAAGACTCCGCATTGTGTAAAAAGGCTGCTTGAGCCTTTCTTCTCTGCTCATTCTCTTGTTGAAATGACCACCTGATACAGACTAAACCTGTGGTCACATGCACATGCTCAGTTTAGTGTGTATTGCTAGAGGAGTTTTTTTGTTTCTTGGGAGAGTGTATGTGATCAGCACAGGGCCAATCAGCACTGTCCAGACAGAGGGTCAGGGGTTTTCACATCCTAGAGCAGAAAGAAAACTCCTCCTACAAGCTTTAACCAGTGCTCTGCTGAAGTCACAAGACTGCTCTAACTTCTGATGAGAAAAGGTATTTAGCAGTTTATATTTACTAAAATAATAGCATTTCCATGCTCTGTGTACTGTGGGAAACATGTTTAGTGAATGCAAGGTCCTGGGTTTAGTATCACTTTAAGACCCAACTCTGGGAAAATTAAAAATTGCTTTGCATTTGGCTGCACCCCCACTTATGCATTTGGGAGGAATATAAAAAAAGATTAACTGCACCCCTGTGTCCTTGATGCAGACTGCCCCACACAATGTAATCATCCATATGCAAGGGAAATTTTTCAGAGCATTTTGCCTGCTGGGGAGCAGAGGACTTTGGAGTAAAAACTCTGCCTATTCAGCCAAAAATGCAAGGGAAATTTTTTGATTTCCTGGAAAAGAATTTTTTTGAAAAGAATGGAATTTACAGACTGTTAGGATTGTTTTGCTAACTGTGTCCCTCACTTCTGTCAGTGCAGGAAGACAT